GTTATATTAACGGGTGCCATGTGCGTAGTATAGCGCCGTTTTGTCATATAGCGTTCTATATGACGCTAAAGGATGAGAATGCGTTGGAGTAAACACAGTAAGTTATAAGAAGTTGAGGTAGTTGAGGGAGCATTCCTGTGGGCGGACATTAGTCAAAAAACTGTTCTACTGATGTCATTACAGAAGGAAGTAGAGGGATGTAGTCCAAACGGGCCGTTCGATGTAGGCTACTTCTGTTAAATAAAATATCTTGCTTGGCATTGAACTTTGAGCTTTATAATTTTACAGATATTATTTATACTCTAACAACAACAACATTACACACTAACTAAAGTTTGAAACATGGGATCACGAAGAACGGGACCTTTAAGCATGAACCTGTGATAAACGCTGATGGGGACAATTTAATTTTTCTCTCTTCCCGACACAGACGAAATGAATTTTAGAGCTCATGCAACATAATGAAGAGCAAAAGTAACACATTAGATCTGCAATCAATGCTTTATCTGTGCACGTATCATTCTCAGGCTGCCACAAAGAATGATTGGAAATGTAGTGTAGTCAAACACATCTGTCTTCTCATAAATCAGCTAAATAAATAGTATTTTCTGGCAAGCATTATTGCTCATCTTAATTAACACTACATGAAAAAAACTGCGAACAAATGCATCACAACTTCTGATTAAAAACTATTTATTTATGCCAAGTTTCCTACTGATAATTACAAATTGATGGTGGCGTTCATGTGCACTTGACTCGTAAACACAATCATTCCCGCATGATTTGAACACAGCAGTAACCATTTCTGATTAAAATCTAATAAACAACAATTTTCAGATTTTCAAGTAAATCATTTTTCTCTGAAGTGATGTAAAGTACATCAAGTTTAAGGTCAAATCACCTTATCTAAGGCTAATATTAATGCCAATCTGCAAACGGTTGTTAATTACCACAGAAACCTCTCTCAACTCATATGTCAGTATGCAAAAAAAGCAGCAATTGGTGTAAGGCATTGTGGGATAAATGTAAAAACATACACAGTTTAGAAAGTAAAGCCTCGCAAAGTTTTAACATTTTAACATCCAGCATTTTAACTCATGTCATGATTAAAATAATACTCAGTGACGATAGAAAAAAAAAATGTTTACATCAAAATCCACATTCAGGAATTGTGTCAGTTTAGCCAGAAGCTAATCCATTGCAAATAACACCCATTTCCGTTCTGAAGAAATAATATAAAGACTTTCCATTTAACCATGCACCCAGAATGTCTAGACTTCCATTAAGTGCTTTACTGTAAATGCAATTTTTTCTCAAAAAGAAATGCTTGTGCACTGTGGTAATCAATATAGGCAGTCAATGAAGCTGATCTTGCTTCAGCCATCAGTGAAAGCTTGAGGGATGAAGTCATAGATGCATTTTAATGATGGAAGGCTGCATAAAAAATAAAAAAACGACTGCAACTTTGCTCAGATGTGGACTGAGAAATTCTACATCCCAATACTAAAGAAATAACCATAGCAATTCTCCAAGGACATACAAAAAAATATCTTTGCTAGATTACAGGAAAGCAAAGGTAGTCTGAGGTGGAGAAGCAGCTGGTGGAGGGAGAACTGCTGTTTTTGTGCCTGTGGCAAAGACTGTCGCATCATTTCCTGTTATCAGCTGATCCTCAGTGTGTATAGGCATTTCACTCACTCCATCTATAATTCAAATGCTTTGAATCCCATATGAGGCCTGGACATAGTCGACCGACATGCACATAAACAAACAAAACCAGCCTACTATGTGCTCACACACCACAACAGAGGATACAGTAAGGCACTTTTTAAAGAACTTGAACATTTCAAATGAGATTCTCTTTGTACAGCTGGAATCACACTTGAACACACAAACCCATTTAAACAGGGTCGGGAACTAACAACCACTTATACACATATAAAATAATAATGCATTGTTCAGCAGGATAGCCTTATTTACAAACAAAAGACATCTATGATAATGAACTATGAAGTAATTGGTTTGAATCATAATTAAAGTAGTTCACTTTTGAAAAGACTTTTGCTGATAATTTCCTCACCCCCATGTCATCCAAGATGTCCAGGTCTTTCTTTCTTCAGTCAAAAAGAAATTAAGGTTTTTGATGAAAACATTCCAGGATTTTCTCCATATAATGGACTTCATTGGGAACCAAACGGTTCAAGGTCCAAATGAGAGTTTCAGTGCAGCTTCAAAGGGCTTTAAACGACACCAGACGATGAATAAGGGTCTTATCTAGCAAAACGATCGCTCATTTCAAAAATAAATAAAAAAGTTTAGGTTTTATAAGCACAAATGCCCGCCTTGCTCTGTTCTGTGATGAGCGTTTGCGACTTCAAATGCGTTCGTCAAAACGAACAAATCTTTTTTCGAGTCATGACTCGAAGGGTCCTAGATAAGACCCTTATTCATCGTCTGGTATCGTTTAAAGCCCTTTGAAGCTGCACTGAATCTCTCATTTGGACCTTGAACCGTTTGGTTCCCAATAAAGTCCATTATATGGAGAAAAATCCTGGAATGTTTTCATCAAAAACCTTAATTGTTTTTCGACTGATGAAAGAAAGACGTGGACATCTTGGATGACATGGGGTTATCAGCAAAAGTGAACTACTCCTTTAACTTTAAAATAATCTCACAATTCACTTACTCATAAGATAATTAATTTGTAAAAAAAAAAAAAAAACCTCAGAAATCAGCCTCAAACACATGAGTTATTGGCTTAAATCTTCCAACTCATTCACTAATCTTAACAGTGTGAAACTAATAACTCTTATGAGCTAGCTAATGAATTGGTCAAACTCACAAATCAGTCCTAAAACCCCAAACTCAATAGTTAACACTTTGAATCAGTCAACAACTCTAATGAGCAAATTAATTGGTTAAACAAATGAGTCTCAAACTCAGTTTCATAGAATCAGAATCAGTAAATTCCTTACAATTATCACACCCCAACAAAACCCTCACATCCACTCACCGTAAGCACGGAAGACAAGATAAACGTGTTTATGTCCTAATGGCCACAGGGCCTCAGCTGCTCCTGATGTGGATGATTCTCAGAATCCCAGATACTTCTCATTTATTCAACAATCAACCATCCAGTTAATGCTAGCCTTCTGTACCCTCTCCTTCTCTCCATGGCAACAACTCTCACATCTACATGCTAATAACATCCTCCTATCTCCATAACAACTCTGACATATTGTGCCTTTCCCCTCCTGCTGCTAAGAATACACTCATTCGACCCATCAATAATGCTAAGATATTCTGTGTCCATGGTAACAACGTCATCCTCCCTTTTTTCATCATGCCCTCATATACCCGTAAGGTACACATAGGCCTGTCCTATGTAAAGGTGATCCCCCTTGCTTTGATCGATACCCACTCCAACAGTGAAATGACACTCATGCATTTATAAGATGTGTGTGGAGTGTTTACAACCCACCAACCCTGAGGCAAACGCTGTGCCTACGAAACTTTAATTGTAGCAAATGTCAGAGCCAGGGCATGTAGTGCAACCACTATGGGGGAGAGTACAAAGACTTTCCTGGATGCTGTTCGGCAAAGTACATGTCCATCGACTGAGTGTTCCGTTCCGTGATGTAGAAATTACAAAGTCAGTCTTAAAGGAACAGTTCAACCTTGAGGTGCCAGACAGGGACGGTTTCTTTCTTCCATGAAAAAATTAAAAAAAAAAAAAAAAAACATGTTTTACAGAATGTTCGCACTGCTTTGGTGGTGGACAAGGGCATGGAATGACATAGAATGACATGTAAGCAGGACAATTTTTTTAAAATAGTACTCCGCATTCACCCAAACAGGAAAATTATTAAGTATGCCATTTCAAACCTGTATGCCTAACTTTCCACTGTGGAAGATATATGAAACAACACTGGACCCCTTTGACTTTCATTCTATTCTATTCTAGGGACAAAAAACACCAAGGCAATTTTCAAAAGATCCTATGTTGGATTCCACTGAAGAAGAGATAGAGTCATTCAGATTTTAATTGAAATGAGTATGAGTAAATAAATAAAGAATTTTCTGTAAAACTTTACAATAAGGTTCTGGTAGTAACGTTAGTTAATGCTAATATTAAAAATTCAATGGTTCATTGTTATTTCATGTTAGCTCAGGGTAATTAAATCATGTTAACAAGTACAAATTTTGCTTTTAATAATGGATAAGTGATTGTTCAATATAAAATTAATGAACACTTTAGGGACCAATTCTCACTATCTAGTTTGCTTAGCATGCATATCGCTAGGATATCGGTTGTTTATTAGTACTTATAATGCATTATTGATACCATATTCTGCATGACAATATTCAACATCCCTTAATCCTATCCAATACCTAAATTGAACTACCTTACAACCATTAAAAAGTAATTAGTTTGTTGAGTGATTAATTTGTTGAGGCTAAAGTCGTAGCTGATGGTTAGTTATAGTGAGAATTTGACATTAAACTAAAGTGTGACCAAATTAATTATTTTGGTTAGTTGTATTTTAACAAGTGTTAACAAGTGGAACTTTATTATAAATTTAATAATACATTTTCATTTTAGGGTGAACTACTCCTTTAAGCTCATTTCACGCTACCTGCGATTTTATTGTAGCGTGTCACTACACGATTATCGCTATCACCAGTCCCCATCCACTTTATTGTTTGGATTGAATCGAGAAAAGCGTAAACATTCTGGATACATAAAAATAAATCAATAAACAAACTAATCACTCTTCGTGTTCCACAAAAGTAAGAAAATCTTGTGCGTCTGTAAATGATGGCGTGTAGCCTAGCCTACGTCACATATCCTACAAATTATTTATATTTGGATGAAGTGTCCCTTTAAATTTAAAATGAACGAAGATGTTGCGCTGCGAGCCACATCTCCCCTGGCAACAGAACATGTTTGGCAACATTGACTTTCAACAACAACAGCAAAAACAAGTTTAGTTAGTTACCTGGTTTGACGGTCTTAATTCGAATCGGCTCCCGAAAGTGGCGCATCACCGCGTGCGTGTCTCGGTTCGTCAGCCCACTGACAGGTGTCCCGTTCACTTCCAATAACACATCCCCGTAGTACGGTAGTCTCCCGACGTGACACACCAGCACGTCCAAGTTCATCTGACCGAGGAACGGGAACTCCCCGAGCTCGGCGCCTCCAAGGATCTCCACAACATCACCGAACTCCCCAACGCTTCCCCACGACACGGCGCACTCCTGCACTTTAGTGGACCAGTGTTTCTTCCTCTTCAGCGTTTTAGACATTCTTTATCCTTTAAGTTTCACTGCAGTTCCACGTTAACAGGTTTTGAAGCCTTTTTTCCCCGGTGCGTCGTTCACTTTACCCGGTGTGGGGATGACAGCGCGCGGATGTGAAACGCCATCCAGCCAGTGACAACTCCATATTAGTTCAAGACAACATTTGATCAAATCATCAAAATGTCCTAAACGAATGCGCGAGGATACTATAGCTACATTATGGGAAATAATATCAAAAGTAAACAACAATCGATAGAAGAATGAAGTAAAACTGTTTACCTGTTAAGTTCACTCAGGTTTTGAAATGCACAGCTTCAAGCGCACTAGACTGAAACACTGATAAACGTGTCTGCCAGTACAGCGAAATAAAAACGCGTCTATAAAGGGAATTAGAGGCAAAATAGTGTCTCGCGGGTATAAAGAGCCAGCGAAGCGGCAGTCTTGAGAGATATTCGACCGAAGCTCAGGTTAGTCTTCGAAACGCGATTCCCAGTCAGTGAGTGTATGCGTCTGACGCTTCTTCATTCCTTGCTTGTGCCCGAACCGTCAGCTTAACACACATTACGAGCCGTTGATTAATAGCTTACTAGAGAAATAACCCGTCGAATGTGTGTTTATCGCCTCAAATGGTCGCTGCGATGCTGTCATACGCGACGGTTGATCTCTCTGATCTCCAGTCACGGCGGCTACTGTTGCGCTCGCGCTCAGCTTCTATTTGCCAAATGAAGCGTGCGCGCGTGTGTGGATGTCCGTGTGTGTGCGCGCGCGCTCACAGCAAACAGCCAGTGCGGCCTGTGATGGCTCTCGAGTGGAGGTTTATGAAAACTGAGCTTTACTGATTTAGTTAATGAAGATCCAAATAAACAACGTATAAAACCAACTTTGTACTGTAAATTCTGATTGAAGGAGTCGCGCGTACTAAGTCGCTCTAAGAGAAATTTAAACGCTTACCTGTAACGGTTTTAAATGGCAAGATTCTCTACTTATCAGCCAGCCATATAAGCAATTGTTAGGCTAAAATTATCGCCTAATATTAGTTTATATATGTATATATATATATATATATATATACATAGGCAATAATAGGCTGTTTTACAGTGATCACAGAGAGGGGTTTTCTGGTTTGTATTGAGGTAAAATCAGCAAATCATTATAATTAAATACTCTAACGATCAATTTTGCCTGTTGTCCTGCTCTGAAATGCAATTAATAACATAACGCAAGTAAAAGCTGCTAAAGTAATGTGCAATAATTATTAAACTAAAATTGAGTAGGCTAACTTATAAAATGAAAAATTGCCAGTGTTTCCTTTCCACCAATGCAAATAGTTCTAAAAGTCAAAGCATCAGTTTTTGCATGTCACCAAGCAACACACAATCTTGCATGCCTTGCCATTCCTGCTCACTAAAAGTATATATCAAGTATATATCAATCAGTGAGGAAAAAAACACCCATGCTTTTTGCTACAAACAAAATTATAAGTCTTTACACTTTAACTTTCTCTAATCTGCAAAGAATCACAAATGTCAAAAACAAGGTATTATACTACAAATCCCCCAAAATACCTTCTTTCTTTCTTTTAAGCAGGCCTATTATGGTCATTTTTTACATTTAACATTATCTAAGTTTCTTTCAGCTCAAACAATCAAACATGGTGCTAGCAACGCAAGGTCATGGGTTCGATTCAGGGAATGTATGAACTAATCAAATGTATACCTTAAATGCCATAAATCACCTTGGATAAACGTTTCTGCCAAATAGCACATAAATGTATAAGAACATTTCAGAATTAGCTCCCATACAAGATAAAGAAATAAATGTAATGTCAGTGTTTGCCTCTTTTCTTTCTCTCATATTAATCTGCTAAAGTAATTTAATCATAACTTAAGCCTAGGTGAGGATATCACAGGTAATCAGTGAATATTTCATCTAGTAATCAAATTATAGGGTCAATTATTTTAATAGCACAGTCATAACGTAAGACTCAAAGCTGCACCCTTATGGTATGTTGTTGTAACTGCACTTGAGTTGCTTCATTCAATCTGTCATGGTTTAGACAAATCTGAGACATTATTCATGCACTCTTGTTAATTACAGACAAGTCAAGACAAATCAAAACAGTGCTTTCTCGAGTTTGTAAAGGATCCAATTGAATTCCCTATCGGCCACTGCACTTCAAAATGCAGAACACTTGTATTTCCCATGAGTATTGGGATCAGACACAGGAAACACAGCAGGAAGTGTGTAGACATGGTTAATTATTCTATAGCACAAGACCAGGCATAAAACTTATTTCAGTGTGTTAGGTAGATTCAAGCTCTGAGCTATTTATATAACGGACTCACACACATATGCAGTTATGCTCCAGTAACATATAGCCTACTAAATGCATAACCTTTTTTTCTTTCTATTTGGCAGAAAAAATAACTACCACAAGACAAAATAATAACTGCATTTGCTCAAAAAAAAAAATCCAACTCAAACGTTTAGGCTGTACACATTTAGTCCTTAAAAGGATAGTTCACCCAAAAATGCAAATTCTGTCCTCATTTACTCACCCTCATGTTGTTTTCTTCTGGGAAATACGAAAGGAGAAATTATGAACAATGTTCCAGTCGCTTTTCCATGCAGTTACAAATTAAGTTGTCAAGTCACCTTTATTTAGCTCTCTATACAATATAGATTGTTTCAAAATCTTTAATGATGCGAGCAGAATTCATTTAGACTGAAGACTTTTGAACAGAAAACTTTTTTCAAGCTTTAGAAAAGGTCGAAAAACACAATAAAAGCATAATAAAAGTCGATGTGGCAGAAAAACACAATAAAAGCATAATGTCTATGTGGCATGCCACGGGGAAGAGTCGAATCCAGATCCAACTTCTCCCACCTTACAAATACCTAAACCTACCCAGCTCCACCCCCTGATCCCTAAACCCACCCAGCTCCACCCCCTGATCCATAAACCCACCCCTAAACCCACCCATCTCCACCCCCTGATCCCTAAACCCACCCAACTCCACCCCTGATCCCTAAACCCACCCAGCTCCACCCCCTGATCCATAAACCCACCCCTAAACCCACCCATCTCCACCCCCTGATCCCTAAACCTACCCCTAAACCCACCCATCTCCACCCCCTGATCCCTAAACCTACCCCTAAACCCACCCAACTCCACCCCTGATCCCTAAACCCACCCATAAACCTACCCAGCTCCACCCCCAGATCCCTAAACCCACCCCTAAACCCACCCAACTCCACCACCTGATCCCTAAACCCACCCAACTCCACCCCTGATCCCTAAACCCACCCTTAAACCTACCCAGCTCCACCCCCTGATCCCTAAACCCACCCCTAAACCTACCCATTTCCACCCACTGATCCCTAAATCCACCCCTAAACCCACCCAACTCCACTCCTGATCCCTAAACCCACCCCTAAGCCTACCCATCTCCACCCCCTGATCCCTAACCCCACCCCTAAACCTACCCAGCTCCATCCCTCAGATCTGGATCTGACTCCGCCCCCTGGACCTCTCGTGTACTGCAACGAGGTGCTACTGGGAGATCCAGAAACCAAAGACAATTACAAGATGAATAGGCCTACCTTTTAAAAGGCATTAGTGATGCTGACACAATATTAAAACGAGTAATTTTGTATTCTAAAATAGGCTATAATTAAATAACTTATTCTGCACTCTAAAAAAAAGTTTAGGGCCCCATTTACTGTTAATATAAAAAAAATACAGAATTTTCACAGGTGTATTTAAAATTACGCTATGCATTGTGTTGTGTTTTAGTCTTTTGTTACCTCTCTTGTGAATGGGCTTCTCGAACAAGAAAAAAAATTTGCATCGTGAATTGATTGGATGGTTGTGGTTCGCTATTGGTCGATCTCATGTGAGTGACAGGTTGTCCCTGTCTCGTGCAAGTAAATGCGTCATCAGAGCGAGAAGAGATAACGCTGCAAGAGGGAAGGAAAGAAGGCTCTGGACTGAAATAAACGAGTTTATTAGATCTCTACTGGTTGTTCAAAACCGAACAGCCCATTTAAACGAAGTATCCATCCAACACCTAAAGCAATAGCCTGCGATTTCTCTTGAGCGGCGCATGCAGAGGACACAGCAAGTCCCCATTCGACTAGTGTAATAATCCAAAGCGAGTAGTGTTTGAATGAATTATTGATAAAGCCGAGTAAAGAGGGTTAGCAGCAGGCGGAGGTATGTCGTTACTTTGATCTCACAACTATAATTTCTCTCTCTGAACATCTCTCGGAGGATGGGAATGAAAATTGTCAGTTCAAGTATTTAGAGGGATTCAAAGTGGTCGGCTTTTTAAACTCAGCGAAAACTTCCAGAAAGTTCTGCAGTTCTCTATATTAGCATAATTCAATCACACTTCGAGACCCTAAGTGAGCTCCGCTAACACAAAACTTACAATAACAATACCATTTTCCCTCGACAAAGCAATATTATTATTCAGGCTTTTATGGCTATACAGTATGATACAGTGAGAAGATGGAGCTCATGATCGACGAGGCCCAAACTATGTATATTATAAATATTATAATATGATTTTTTTATATAATGTACTGATAATCAACTTACAATAGGATATAACGACCTAATGGTGCATTTTTAGAATTATACTAAAAGGCCTTTTTCCTTTTTGCTAATAAAGCATAGGCTATCAATATCAATCAGACGATGAAAGGCATGTGTACATGATTGTGTACATTGTTTTGATAATGTTGATAATTTAGGGGCCTTAGAAATTTGCATATTAAATATATTATACACAATAGGTTTTATATATGGAATGATATTGCAATAGTAATGGTGCTTCTTAGCTAGCTTCACTAATAACAGTTTATTTGAATAACATGACTAAATCTTCACTCGTGGTGCCTGTGAATTCATTTTATTGTTTAAATGTCAGCTAAATGTCAGAATTTTCTGAAACAATGTTCTTTATACATGCTTTACAGAATGTACAGGTACAGTATACAAAAAAAATACACACAAAAATGAACAAAACATTTATAAAGCAGCATTTAAATATGGTCTAAGCACTTAAGCTAAACTTTGGTTTGCGGAAGGCAGGAACGTTTGATCCGTGTGGATTGTCTTTGGTGTAAATCGAAAATCGTAAGTGAAATCATACTTGTTCATTTTGTAAAGATCCCAACAAAGTCCTGTATAATTTGGAGAAAAATAAAACTGATGTCCTCTTAAATTACATTTAAACAAAACTGTTTTGTAGTAATCTCCCACAAGCTGAACCAAGAGAGACCACAGTAAGAGGCCAAGCGAGCATTAACAGTAATTCGAAAAATGTAGAGGTTTTAAACGTGGCTGGAAGCCGCTGATGACACACACTGCTTTCCTTTTAGACAGGGAAATTGACGCAGCGAGCAGTCAGCTGCATCATCTGCCATCAATGTCTCTTGATTAGTGTAATTGTATAGCTAACTGCAAGGCAAGAGATTGTGCAAAATGCAACAAATTAATATGCAAATCAAGGGGTAGTTATCGCAGTTGAAAAGTGGTTGATAAGAAAATAATATCCATTAAAAGAAGACAAGTGACCACATATCTGCCGCAGTGAAAGATCCAGCTTTTGTACGCTCAAAAAGTGCAAAATGTCAGTTGTACTACAAAATGAATGGTTAAGATGTAATCAGGGATCCACACAGATGGTTTGGGTCGTCAAGATTAAATCAACGTGAAAATAGGTAATAGCACCCGTAAATGTGACATTTGTATCGGTCGAAGCATGATTTGTGTATTCTAGGTTCAACAAACTCAAATTGGGGACATGTTTCACCTCACACAAAACTTCCAGATTGCGCAGATTACTATTGAGATGACTGCATTTTGCCCTCAGAATTTCACTATACAAAGGGTAAACGTGAGTGCACCTTTAAAGCAAGGTTGTGGCTAATATCCGAAACCTGAAAAATGCTGTTCTGGAGGGAGAAAGAGATTGATGCGTGTTCAAATCAACATACTAAGATACCTAAATCTAGATAATTTGGTTCATTTTGAAATCCGACAATCCTGTGCATGCTTTTTAGCATAAGAATACATATATTTGGACTGACTGACTAAAAGCACTTGTGCATTTATTTTTCTCCAATAGCTAAGACATTAGAATTGTAGTCATTAAATATTCCCTATATATCTCCAAAGCTCACTTGATCTTGAACAAATTCATTAGACGTGATGTTAGTGCCTTGAAAGTTTCCTTAAAAGGTGTCTGTAGAACAAGAGGGCAGCAAGACCCACCTCTCTTAAGACATTGTTTATAGGCCAGAAAGTCAGCGGTCCTTCTAAGGCCAAAAAACCTACTAACTGTCACAATTGTTCTTAAACATTAAATTAAGAAGACGACCTGAAAGCATATCTGAGCTTCACGGGGGGAAAAAACGCAAGAGGAAATTAGTTTGATCATCCAGCTTTAACAAAAAAACTTAAATGCAGCATGTACTGGACGGGTGAGCCCGGGCAAGCTCATAATTATGTATAGCAATGCATTTGTTAACAGCACACAGGAATATTTTAAAGGTGAAGTGTGATATTTTCACATCACTATGGCTACCCCCAGTCTGCTATTGGTCAGACAAAATGTAGCCCCACCTCCCACCATTGGTGCTCAAACAAAAATATTGCAATTCCATTCAGTGTGCGTTAAGCTCCTGAAAGAAGTCCTTAAGTTCTGTAGCAAAAGACAAAATAGAAAAAAAACGAAAGCATAATATGGGAAAGCAGCATAAAAAATAAAAACGAGTTTGCATATTACGATTGCATAAGGCTGTACTGGGCAGATTGTCAAAGGTGCAATATATCCGGTCTTTCTTACTGTCTATAGTGCCAAAAGAAAACAAAGAGAAACTGAAGAATGTTTGGGTTTGTGAGAAACAATACAACAACAAAAAAAACGCATTATTAATGACGAATAAAGCGTACAATAACAATGGAAACAACAGAGTCTTCTACTCTGTTAACACATTATTGGTCATCGGTCAGTACCACTTGCAATAGGAATGAGAAATGCAGCACAGGTGATTGACCCTCTGATGTCACTCAGAGAACATCACTGCCCTATTTTGGCAGTCCCAATCTTCACAGTCACTGTTCGTACAGGTTCTGTACCAGAGCAAAAGCAAGTTATAGGTGAGTCTGGGTCAAGCTTTGGCATACGCAAAAAGGCTCAAAGCTCCAAAGTACGTAGGAAAACCTAATATGGCATAATTTGTACGTCACAGGTTATGGTAGGACTAGCGGAGCTCTTGGAAATGTAACATTCAGGGCTCAAACCAGACTGGTAAATTGAGGAATCGTGAAAGCAGGACTTCTCTCTCTCTCTCCTGTTTCAAAGAGTTTTCCACAAAATGCACATCCAAGTGGGCTAACAAAGTAACATGGTGGGGAGGGACAGGAGAGGCAGTGTAAACATTGAAGAGAGAGGCATTTCATTTGGCAGATAATGAGGCTTCTCAAAGGAGGTAGTGGGCTGAGGGCACTGGGAGGCGATGGAGAAGGTGGTGATGTTTGGGAAAGACAGGGCTGACGGGTTTATGTGGGCGCTGAGGCGCTTTCTTGTGAGTTAGTCCTGTATGAGCCTTCCTCCAGTGCCCCCCTCCTCTCCTCTCGGCTGTCCCCTGCGGACACACCCATCGGGGTATTATGTACAGTCACTGAGGCCTGGGCAAGGATGGAAGAGTTAGATTCCTCCCCCTCCCAAAATGACCTGCCCGGGACATCTGAGACAGATGTAGAGAAAAATAGAGATTGTGAAAATAGGCACGTGCACTAGCTCAGCTCCCAACATGGAAGCATATGGTTTGCTTGGTAAAGGGATATTAGACTGAAATAAGGTGCATTTCTAAATGTTCATTTATGTATGTGTAAGGTGTTCATCTCACCAGTGCTATAGCGTTGTGACGCCGGTAGTCGTGGTTCGTTGTCAGTGAGGAACACAGAGGCGTTCTGCTGACTTATAAAACTCTCCAGTGCTGTGTCCGTGTGCTTATCCTGCTCTTGATGGCCGCCCTGGTGTCCGTCCCGAGAGATCTGAGCCACGAGTGGGTCGTCCTCTGTCAGGTAGGCGTATGGACAGTACTCACGCGTGCGCGAGTAGATATTGGCGTTGTCGTAGCAGTCTGAGCAGATGACTAGAGGGCCAGCTCCCCCTAAAAAGAAAAACAGGACTCAGGGTGAATTCCTTTTTAAGCAAATAAATATTAAAAATGTATGAATTCAAAATGTAAATGTTACCATTGGGGACATTTGCCTGTCCCTCTCTGGGTTCACTCCGGTGGAAGCTGCTACGTCCAGCAAAGAAAGAGCCCACATGACTACCCAGCATTCCATTAGCGTCTGGATCAACATCACTGCTCACTTCACCGTAACACACTCCTGTTGAAACGCATCACAACATGCATCCATTATAATGACTCGACTAGAGACTAAATGAGTTTGATCGGTTTTATTTTACAGTCTTTATGAAGGAATAAACTCTTGCTAGAGAGCAGAACATGATATTACCATCAGTGCCTTTGTGGACATAACCGTTAGCATGAGAGGGCATGAGCTGCTGGTGGCTTCCGTTCTCCGAGTTACTGTATCCCTCCTGAGGCTCTGACAGCGTACCCTGAGACGAGAGGTAACTGGGAATGTCTGCTGGTAGGTTCATCTCATCTGGAATACACAACAACAAAAAATTTATACATTAATCTTGTCATTTTTGTGCATGAATTTGTAAGATTGTTATAATGCCCTCTCAATAGCATTTATTGTGTAATATCCTGATTGTGAATTTTTGAGATAATATAATGTACTAAATAATATTATATTCGAAGTGAAAGACTATTAAAACCTTAACCAATTTAAAACAGATATATTAAACTTGAGCAAATAGTATTTATTCAAATCATATTATATTTAATGAATAAAATATATTTAAATAAAGTATCTTATATTTTATTAAGTGTAGTATTCATGTTTTTTCTACTCAGTGCAATTTTTTTAATCATTTTTTTTTTTATAGAAATAATTTTTATTCTTACTGACGTGAACAAAATAGGCTATCAAATTGTTAATTTAATTATCTCTGCTAATAATTAGCCAACCAAAATTTCACAATCAAGGAAGCCCTACTAGGCATTATTTTTTATTAATTTTGTCTATCAACTGGACATTACACAACATCCTCAAAAACAAAAAATGATAATTATTGTTTATACTATTTTAATTATTGTTTATACTATTTTCAGTTTTAAATGTTTAAACTGATACATGCAGAGCTGTCCACTGACCTGTATTTGTTATGCTGTAGTCTTCACTTTTTCTCCTCATGTGGTAAATGACGATGACCCACACAAGCGAGGTGCCAACAACACAGCAAACGACCACCATCACAACAATGCCAACCGTTGTCCATCCATCCTGACCGTATACGCTGGTCACCGGGTCACAGTTGGCTGAGGGCAAGACGCTGAGGTAGATATGACCGCGCTCTGTGCCCAGCGTGTTGGACATAATGCATGTGTATTTCCCTGCATCAGCAGGACCAGCATCAACGATTATGAGGAGCTGATTGGCTGCGGCGAAGAAGTGACGTTCTGTCAGCATTAACGGGCCGTCGTCTTTGGTCCAGTTGAGGCGCGGGGTGGGGCTACCACGAGCTATGCACTGGAGGACAGCAGTCTCACCTCGGGCAACATTCCGGTCCTCTAGAGGGCGCTGAAAGGATGGGGTTTCTGTCAAAAAGACCAGATTTGAATTATGAAATACAAGATTATCAAAAATATAAATAAGTCAGAAGAAAACTTTTGGCCATTGTAAAATCCTATACCTAGCACAGTAAGAGTGGCATTGGCCGACAGGCTGCCCGCCTCGTTTTTGGCCGTGCAGCTATAGATGCCCATATCCTCCGCCTTCACATTAGCAATGAAAAAAGTGTCATCGTCTGGCATGACATGCATCCTTCTTTCACGGGCAGCAGGGAAATTGATACCGCCATCTTTTTGCCATGCGATCTGGGGCGTCGGGTGTCCCTCTGCAGCACACTCCAACCTAGCGACCGTCCCGGTGCGGATGGTCAGATCCATGGGTGTCTTCAGGAAGGTGGGGAGCTCTGGGAAAAGCCATTTGCAAGTTATTTGAAATCTGGAATAAATTTGAATATCATTAAGGGCAATTACTATTATTTATTATTACTACCGCTATAGCCATTATCATTTATTAACCATTCATCAAGTGGTCTGTGTTTAAAAAATGTGTGTAATGTGTGTTAATGTTATAATTACACAAAGAACATTCTATTTTTATAATGAAATGTATTGTTTATATTACCTTGTTCAATCTTTAATAAAGCCTTACAATAATATTATGTACGGAAATGTATAAAGGCAAATATAACACCAACAATAAATAACTAATATTATCATAATTTTGCAAATGCAATGAGAATTCATATTTTGAATAAACAAAAACCCTAAATAGCACCGTTTGTTAAAGTGTTTACTTTGAGAATAATGTTTCTGTTATTGGCATTCTATTATTAGGTTACAAATCCAATCCACTCTTTTTCCATTAGCATCATGAACTGACATAAACAGAATAATTACATTGCTGAGGTCAGCATCCCAGAGGACTGCTATGTTTGTTCGACGGACATGGAAAATTAAAAATGGACAGAGCTCCGAAAACAACCATGGAGAAATGACGGGAAATAGACAAGGGGAGGGGAGAAAACAATGCTGAACAGCTTATCAAAGCATTTGGAAAGATCACAGTGCTTTAGCAATATGCCAATAAAGACTACTTAAACCTTATCAAATTTAAAGCGCACCAAAAACACTTTTCTAACTTTACTAGGTAGGTAATGTTGCTGTTTTAGCATAAACAACATCTGCAAAGTTACAAAACTCAAAGTTCAAAGCAAAGGCAGATATTTTCTTAAAAAAGCGATTTCTTTATAAGGACTACAACAAATGGCTGGTAGGGACTACACAAGCTATAGATTATCAAGACAGAATATGCTAATCAATGACTAGAAGATAACTACATATAAGCTTCCTAAATTCATCAACTAACCATTCAGAAATGTTGTTAATTCTTGAGTCTCTACATCTCCAGTTTGAACATAAAAGGCTAAAAGTTGCATGTTTGAGTTAATCGAAGTGGCTAAGGACAAGAGCTCATGAAGTTCCACCCCCTGTTCTGAGAGCAGCAGCTCATTTGCATTTAAAGGGACAGACACAAAACGAGGCGTTTTTGCTCACCCTCAAAAAGTAATAAATTTAACAAGCTATATAAAAATATCTGTGGGGTATTTTGAGCCAAAACTTCACATACACACTCTGAGGACATCAGAGATTTATTTTACATCTTGTGAAAAGGGCTTTATACCACCCCTTTAATTTATATGATATCTAATCAATGTAATATATTTAAATAAACATGAAGCACGTCCCACTCTTTATATTCTATTCATGCATTTAATCTATTTGAAGTGTTAATAGTGCTACATATTCACATACCAGATACCACAATATAGCAAAATCTCGAACAATAGACATTTTATACTGCAGAAACAATATATATAGTCATACAGATCAGTCCTACTCTAGAAAATGTAGGAACTCTGTAGGAATACTGTAACAATCAATTTCCATGAGGCACTAACCATTAACAGTGAGCTTGGCCACAGTGGAGTAGTTGGAGCCAAAATGGTTGGAGACCACACATTGGTACTGGCCCTCGTCAGTGAAATTAACATTGAGCAGGTGGAAAACGGTGGTGTAGAGAAGGAGCTGATCCTGGTATCGAGCGTAGTTCTGGACCTGAGCTTCATACAGCACCTCTCCGTCTTTGCGCCAGGCGGTGCTCATGGGAGAGTCGCTGCTGCTGAACGCAGAGCAGTTCAGAGTGATGTTGGTCCCGCGTAAGGCCACAACGGTCTTGGGGTGAGCGCTGATCTGGGGTTTAGGGAAGTCATCTGCAAGTGAGACCAAAATAAAGAGATCTTAATCCAATACTTTTTATATTAAAGTTTTACTTCTTAATCATAAAATGACTTTTATTTAAATGGCACAAGACACACCACAGTAGCCAAAAAGGGCAAAGACATTTCATTAGAGTGCTGTGAAAAGTGTTTTTGTAAGAGACAGCATGAGGTAAATGTCAGGTCACTCACTGCAGACAAACTCCTCCGGTTTAACGACAAGAACACTAGATCCTGCCAGGGACGCAGGGTGAGCGCAGACTGCAGTGCAGGATTGCTGGAAGTGGCTGTCAGTCAACCACTGGCCCAACCACTGCAGCTGACAGTCACACAGGAGACTGCTGGTGTTCAAATCACTGAGGAAGACAACGGTACATGGATTATTGAGAACACAGGTGAAAAACATCCAACTAACATACAGACAAAAATGGCAACAAAAAAAATAGATTACGTGAAATGCATACAGTCTGTAGAAAGGAAAGAATCACTTACAGTGTTTTAAGTTTTAAATGAGTGAAAGCGTCAGGATGAATAGACATGATGCCATTCTTACTCAGGTCCCTGTAGAACAAATTCAAAAAGATTATTCATATGGGAACAGTACAAAAGTGTTGTGTTGAATAATAGAAAGTATTAGATTATATTGTAGTTTACTGCTTTCATTGCAACTCGGCACAAATGCAAAAGGAACAATATAACAGGTATAACCTTATAAATCTCAAATCAATAACCTATAATCTTTAACAACCAATAGTATAAACAGAATATATACGCTAATATCTAAGCATAATATAGATCAATATCTATTATAAAAATCCTAAATAAATTCAAAAATCTGAATTTTAATCCTCAATTTCAATTGAATAAAGTCAAATTTAAGCTTTATGGAACCATGGAAGCCTATTTCTGCCTTAGAGTTAAAAAGGGCTTTTTACCTAATATTTGAAACTGTATTGCTTATAACTGTGACTTTGAAATATCACGGTTTAAATGTATATATTTGTTATATTAAATGCCTTTTTATATCTTTGTGTGATCAATTCAATATGTCTCATTTAAAAAAAATTTAAAAAAAGGTTTTGACCTAATGTTTTTCAAAATGTCATAACTGGACCACCCAGTGAAAACAACAGACTTCTTTCTGGTGACATATGCAGAACAATATCTGGAAAGATTTCTACATCTACAAACAGAAGACATGACGTTCCCAAAATACTAAGAGCCAAAAGATAGACTCACAAATGCTCCAGCTCCATCAGACCCTCGAATGCTTTCTTAGTGATGGTCCTGATTTTATTATTCTGTAAAACTCTGGAAAACACAAACACATGCTAAATGTCAAACCACACTTCACATCTCAGAGTCAGATCGAACAGTTCATATCCACCATTGTATCCAACTTACAATGAGTTCAGCCTCTTCAAGCCCACAAACATGCCAATTAAGTCCTCAATGGCGAGGTATATCTCATTATTACGGATGTCCCTGGAAAAGAAAAACATCAGGAAGTTAGCAAACTTCCAACTACTGCTGAGTAGAATATTTTCTGTAACCTAAAATGTCAGAGCTGCTTTCTTTAGGAGATTGTACTTCTATATACAGAGAATTATGGTGCTATGGCTGTAGGGAAGCTCAGAATCATTGTATGCTTATGGAGTATAATAGGGGGTTTTGTACAGACTGGCTGGTATGTGGGAGAATTGTGAGATAATTTTCACGCACTACTGGCTGTAAAAAGCTGTCATCGCTTTATAACTGTGCCAAAGGGATGTGGCTGAAGATACAAGAGGTGGGCAGGTTTGAATGTGTGTTTTTTTTTTTAATGGGGTGAGCTGAAACGCCGAAACTAAACTAAAAGGACTTATATAGAGCTTAAACTAAAGGGATAGACTATATTGTTTGCAATTATGGGCTCATCTTATTTTATAGAGATATGCTACTTCCATTTTCATTTAATCTACAAATTAACACACCTGTCTTCATCTGAGAGCAAATATGAAATAAGTTACAGAAAAATCAGTAATCATTTCAAAATCAGTACATCATTTTTAAACAAAAGTGTTTATTAACTTATTGCTGCCCCCAGTCACATTAAATTATAACTCACATAAAAATAAAATATTTATAATTTTATTGTGAAATGAAAAATAAACGAAGACAAAAGCCAAATTTGTTAAATACCATACCAATGAAGTGACTAAAGTAACATTTCTGAAAATAACACATTTAACTTTTTCATTGCCATCATTCCCATTAAAGGGAACTTGCAGAAGCTAAACATAATAGCCTGATAAAAAAAATGTTTAGCTAATTTAAAAGAAAAATGTAAGACGGACTTTAAAGTCTTCAAATGTTAACTCTTATTTATTGCAAAAAATATAAATGTCCAAAAATGTTTTCCAGTGGGACAAGTAAAAATGTTAAAGAGGGCCCGTACAAATCTGGACAACTGTCCTGACCAGCACATCAGGATTTTGTATATAAACTACAGACTTATTCAGTGTTACCGAAGACCTGTCTAATGTGAGAGACAAAAGGGGAATGTGGTTTATCTTACAATGTACGAGCGTTAGTCAGGCTGCTGAACACTCCTTCCCCCAGGTGTGTGATCTGATTGTCACCCAAGTTGAGATTCTGCAAGAGACTGAGACCAGCAAACACCCAGTCTTCCAGACGACTCAAGTGATTGAAAGACAAATCCCTGGAAACCAAACACACACACACACGCACAAGCATTAATCTAGTGGTAACCATCAAATTCAACACCTTGAGAAAAAAACACCAAGAAAACAACGACTGACCAAGTATTACATTATTGCATACAGGATAAAAGTTTAAGGACAGGGCTGAAGTCACTCACAGTTCTTCCAAGCGATGGCAAAACTCCCAGGCATCGGCTCGGATGAGTCCGATATTGTTCTGATTGACCCGCAGAATCCTTAGCATGTGCAATCCATACAGCCAACCCTTATTCAGCTCCGTCAAATTATTATACTCCAACTCTCTGGAAAAGGACACAAATTAGCTGAATTGAACAACAAAAAATAATCAACCCCTCCACTAAGTTGATGTATGGTTTAAAATAAAAATACTACTAAAATCAAGTCTCGTTTAAATATATAGGGGTGGGCGATAGGGTAAAAATATCATATCACAATATTAATTAATCACAATTCTTTTTCATGTTGGTTTTAAAGACTATTTTGCATCCGAACTGTTTACAAGTTTTACAACTGTTTTTATGTAAACCTTGAGTGTATTTGACATTTTATGTGCAAAAATATGTGAAAGAGAACTTAGTTATCTCATATACACACACAAACACAGGCTTTTTGACAATATTTTATGCATTTTAATTATTTAAAATGGTTAAAACGGTGTGTTTTTTTCCCACAGAGGAACAACCACTTAAAATAATTGCCAAGTTGTTTAGTGTAGGTAGTAAATTATAGTCAAGATGCCTATAAAAAAATTAATGCTTACAAATATAGTAATAATTAAAATAATGTAAAACGCTGATTGCATTGACTCACAGCTCCTCCATGTTTTCCAAACCAAAGAGAGCTCCATCCATCAGCTTTGTGATGCCGTTACGCTGCATCTTCAAGGATTTAAGAGCCTTCAGTTCTTTAAAAATGAGACTTTCCACCACACGGATCCTGTTGCGCCTCAACTCTCTGAAAAAAAAAATGACGAAAACATAGAGAGGCACATTATAATAAGAACGTCTAAACCATGGCGCTAACAACCAGCGAGAGACAAGACGTCAAGGAAAAAACTCCCCATTTGATAATATCAGTTGCATTTAGCAAGCAGTAATTCTGTCAGATACAATCTAATTGAGCACTGCAATAACATCAAATTCATTAACCATGAACACTCACAAGACTTGGAGCTGAGACAGGGTGAAGACTTTATCAGGCAGCAGAGAGAGTCTGTTCTGGTTTATCTTCAACACCAGAAGGGAGCTGATGTTTCCAAAACAGCCAGGCTCTAAGGAACTTATCTTGTTTTTGCTCAGGTTGCTGTTGTGATGGAGAAAGGAAACAGACAGTTATCCATAAACCTCGAAAGGAATCAGAAACTCCAAGAAAAACACCAATTATTTAATGACAAAGTAAATATCAAAGCAACAACTGACGACATTTAAAGGGTTAGTTCACTCAAAAGTAAAAATGCTGTCAGTAATTACTCTGTAAGACTTTCGTTCATCTTCGAAACACAAATTAAGATATTTTTTATGAAATCTGAGAGCTGTCTCCCTCCTTCATTGACTTCAACTTACTACCGTCTAACCAAAGTGCACAATTCAGACAAGCCTGAGTACAAAAACCTGGGCAAAAAATAAAAAAACAAAAACAAAAAATAAAAACTCACAGGTATTTCAGCTGCATGGGAGGGAAAGATCCAGCCTTAAGCTCAGATATAGAATTAGAGCTCAAGTCCAGACTTTCCAGAGATGAATATGGCAACAGTTGCTCTGCCATAACTTCAGAGATTCGGTTATGAACACTGAAAACAAACAACAGAAGGTTATAGATGTTCTATATGATCACACACTTAATGAAATGTAAAATAGTAAACAATCACGCAATCCATGTACTGTTACATTTCAGTAGCCTAGCCATGTCTTGTTTAATAACATCTTGTTTATTTCAAGCAAAAAGGGTTGAACGTAGAAGTTAACTTACAGTGACAGCACAGTAATGTTGGATGAGGCGTCTCCAAGAAAAGGCACCACTGTAAGTTCGTTCTGATTCATAGACCTATATTCACACAAAGTTAATTATTAAAACGTGAAAAAGCAGTCACCAAAGGAAAAAAAAAACTTGACATAACAATATAGCCCATTATTAAAGTGAAAACTGAAATGGAATTAAAAAATGAATATCAGGTTGTATTCATATACAAAAACGTAATATGCCAGGCCAGCAAGTGTGTTAAGTTAACCAGAAATATTTAAGACTGGGGGTCAAATGTCAAGTCTATAATTTGCACTCTCAGTTCAGACTTGGTAAAAAAAAAAAAGAAAAAAGGTATGGAAAGACAGTCAAATTCATAGGTACCTAGTACTAGCTACAGACAAACATATAGTCTGTCATATTAAATAGTAGTCAGAAAAACTTAACATTTTGAGCTGGAACAACCTATTTTGACAAAACATAAAAGAAAATCTGTGTTTTGTGGCTTATTTATATACTCTAGTATGATATGTAGTAAGAATATGGAGCGAAGGAAACACCTTTAATGTTATTCAGAGGGCAAAACTGAGCGGGAAAATATGCAAATTTGTCCAGATGTTGTTATTTATATTTCTAAAAATAAAGATGAAATAGTTTATAAAGTAACCCAATTACAACACAAGATTTGATAAAAAAAAGCAAATAAATACTACTAATATGGAATAACTGTCAGTGGTGCGTTAGTATTGTGCACATGTGCAGCCCTGCAGGAGGATGACCATCAGGCAATGTAAACAACATCTCCTCTATTACTCACGCATGGGTGATCCAGGCTGGAGCTTCCAGGGCCGCAGAAGTCAGTCTTTTCCTATTGCAATCCAGCAGTTGAGCTGCACCTGGACTATCAGAACACCTACAGGGAGAAGGGCAAGTGTCCAGGCCCACGACACTCACTATGAGTAGGAATAGGGCCTGGGGGATGGGCCAGGCCTCCGCCATTTTGAGTTTCTTGATCGCAAATGATCTATCCAAATTATGGCATCAATGAGACACGGAGATGAATCTGTGTTTTAGAATATACATCTGATTTCATATAAATCCGAATTAAGATGAAAATCAGAAAATCAATCCGGAGCCATCACTTTGCTCTCTCAGCTCGTCCCTTCGAAATTCTCTTCTTCCGCCTTACAATCTCTGCAGCTTCAAGAATTCCCAAACGGAGCGTCAAACAATCTTCAAGATGTGGAAATGTGGCTCAGATATCCCAAAAGAGTTCATGTCCTATATTAGATTATGACTTTGCATTTGAGGAAAATAAATGATATAACTGAAAAATCGCCTTTCCAAACATTGTTCCTCGACTTTTTTCCCAAGGAAAAACAAAAGCATCTTCTTCCGGCGTTGACACGTGAGCCACCCCTCTGTCACGTGCTGCTGGAGGCCTCACGTCATTGGCCAGTCGACAAATCCATCAAACTTTGATTTTTTCCACATTTTTTCTAAGTTTTTGTTTGTTTGTTTTGTTTTAAAACAATTATTCTAGTGGTTATCTTCTCATTAAAAGCTCATATTATGACAGCCTTTCAATTTTATTACGTCTCTATAATTATTTATTTAAAACTATGAGGTTTGCCATGACCACCTACCCAGAACTTCAAATTTCCATCTGTAGTTATTAAAACGGGTTACAATGTACTTTGCAGTTGTAGGAATATAAATATAAATCATATTTAAATTCACTTGATATTTATCTGTTCATTTTTTATAACAAATAATTGTACTTCATCTTTTGATGAAGTACAGTAGCTTGGCTACTGTCATCTTTTCAATAAAATACCAATCTGCTTAAAAAATGTATGTAATGTATCCTATGTAAAATATGTAATGTTTTTTTTTTTCAAAATAATTATTTATTAACCTTTGTTAACTTTGGTTAATAAAAATACAACTGTTCAATCATTGTTAATGTATCTGAACAATGACATGAACTAAGATTAATAAACATTTCAGAAGTATTTTTCATTGTTAGTTCGTGTTAACATATGAAACCCTATTGAAAAGTGTTGCTGAAATAAAATAATACTAATAATGAATTTGATTGGTATCTGATTCCCACAGCAACTTCAATCAACAAGACATCCTCAACACAGCAATGAAATTGTATTTATGTGTAACAATGAAATGATCTAACTCGTATGTATGTGCTAAGGGCCATTTCTCTGACTGCACTCTCAATGTAACTCAAAGTATAAATAAGACACTATAGTGAGAAGAGATATTTTTAAACTATGTCAGCATGTTGACATCTCTAATATATTGTGACCAATGATATAATAACAAAGTTATAAGATCCATTTTCCATATACATTTATTTCAGTTTAGTTTATCTTTATATTCTATTTAGTATGTTACATGCATTGTAATAATTAGATAGGCATATAGCATATAAAGGAAAGCAACTAATTTGTAATTTAAAAAAATAATCAAATAGTAAGTTAGTGCTGATAAGTTAGTGCTGGCAGGAATGAAGCCTGTTTTCCACTTGCCCTACCAGAATTGCCAAGACATTCATACATTATTTGACATGGTTATTGATGCAAGCAAGATTTTTACAAAATATAAACATCATTTAAAAAAATGCATTAAAAAAAAAAAACCTAATATACATTTAAATAATAATAGCCGAGTAAGGTTTGATCACAATGTTGACTTGAAAAAGCCTTATCTGAAAATTTGAGAGAAAAAAAAAAAAACTTTTCAAAGATTTTACTCAGTCAATGAAATGTTGTTAACATGATCTAATGCATTGTGTTAAACAAGTCGCTAGCATGTCTCTAGCATGATTAGCAAATTGATACAGGAAGATGTTGTTGCTAGCATGATTTTTGATAGACAGATAGACAGACAGACAACATTGGAGGATTTAAGCATATGCTCTACAAAAAGAAAAACAGTTAATAAAAAAAAAGTACAGGAAGTTGAATAGTAGTAGAGCAGGTATAACCTAATACTGAATCTAAAAAGCCTGCATGTAGGTCACAGATTTTCATATAGAGAGAGGTGCATATCGCCTATAGTTTAGGTAGCATACTGTTTAATGTTGGCAGATAATTTAGCATCACAGCATTTTAAATCTTACAGATTTATCTGGCCAACATCTCTAGTTGTGAATAAAGAGTTTCTGAGCTACTGACTCTTTAAACATCGTTTAACAGTGTATAAGTTAATGTTTAACACTGAGCTGCTGCCTTGCTAAACATGCATTGTTTGGCTTTCCTTTGGAATTTTTTCTAAGAAAAATGCTTTAAAATATAGCTTTGAGCTAGTTTCAGGACAGGTGAGTACATGTCTCTCATACGCCCATATTTGGGGGGAATAGGTTATTTGAGATCTGTGGACGTGTTAAATCTGTAACAATGGATGTGTCCCAGGAGCAAACACAGGCAGACTGTTTACCTCGGAGTCTGCGAAAGAAAAAGAAGTTGTCAGACATGGCAAACATGTATCAGCGAACCTGTCAACTTAACGTCAGTTCACCCACAAAAATTGTGCATGTCGTTGGTACGGAAATTAAGGTGATCCTTGACAGGTAGGTAATATAATAATTTGTATTATACATATAGGCATACATAATGCAAAATCAAAAAAGTATGGTGTGAACTTTAAATGCATTTTTTTTAAATTAAAGACCTAAAAGTAAAAGTAGGCTACAATGGGCGTCGCATAGCGGAAGTGGTTGTCCTCATGAAAAGTAATCTTACGCTGTAACCCCCAAGTGTGTCTGTGATTAAAAACCAATCTTTGCATTAAATTGAACTTATTGATATAAAAGAAAGAAAATGCCATTTAAATGAGACATTTTGCAAGCATTGTGTGATAATAGAACAACAAAAAGGTAGATTTTTATTTATTTAAATATTTGTAAATATTTTGTCATAATGCTAAAAATAATTAAACAATTAATATCAGACTTAAATAATTACAAAAGCGGTATTGTAATAATGGATGATACAAAGAAACAGGTGTGAAATATCAACTCAAATGTAAAGGGACAATGTTTGTTAACAGATAGTTCCTCCATAGCATCTAAAAAATGACTCTAAATCTAATAGTTTGTGCAGCCTCCACACGGTTCACATGAAAGAAAATGGTATTCAAATCACAATTAATTGCTTGCAATAGGTTTATTCAACGTATTTTCAGCATGTGTTTACGGTTTTGCATATTGAAGAAAACGGGTTTTGCATCCTGAGGCAAAACGGTGCAAAATTGGGTTCAGTCCAGTTCAGTCGCGCTGGAGTTAACAGCGCCCTCTAGCGGTCGCTTGTGCTGCACACTGAGTTGTGGGCGTTTCCAAGCGTTTCAAGTCCTCCGTTTCCTAGAAATACACCTGCTTTTGTTCAACCAATAGGCTCTCTGACGCGGTTACATCTCAAGTACATAAAAGGGTTAAAGGTAAATTATTGAATTTACTTTCAAAGTAAGACGCATCTTCAAAAATCATGGTGACCCGCCGTTCACTTACAATTGACACTGGGAACGCGACCAAGACGACATACGTGGTCGGAACAGAGTTGACGGTGAATTTAAACAGGTGAGAGTGTATTTATCTCGCATTATGCAAATATACAATATATTAGAATAGAATAGATATTAGAACATTGTTTCATTTTAAGGGGACAAGACGCGTTCATAAACAGCGCGACTGAGCTCAAGGGAATTAAACAAAGCAGGAGTCTATTTTAATAGACCGAAACGAAAGACATAATTAAAGGTACAGTTCAGCCTACCATGATAAACCTTTCATCATTTACTCGCATTCATATCGTTTCCCCATGACTTTCTTTCTTCCGTGGAGCACAAATGTATATTGAATGTTTGGGTCTTATACTGACATCAGGACAGGAGTTTCCATCGACTTCCATTGTATCTTGTTTCCTGCAGTATAACTGAATGGTGACTCACTGAGGCTGTCAGTCCCCTATGTTTACATGCTATAGAAGTGCATTCCTGCTAGTAATTTATTTTTATTTGTTTTATATATTTTCAAAAATGTTTTTGATAAGGGTCTAACTGACTAAAATATCTAAAATATATGTTACTTTATGAGTAGCGTACTTAGATTTCAAAGGGTTAAAGCTGACTATGGTCTGAGTTTTGTTTAGATCAAAAGAACCAGTTTAAACAGAGAATGGAAAATAAAGGATTCATCTCAAAATGAATATTATTATTTTGACAGGCACACCATTATAGACTCTGGGAACCCAAACAGAAGAACAGTCATTAAACACAATGTCGCCAGAAATTATGCATGTTTACATAGACCAATAATTGAAATACAGCACAGACAGAAGACACAAATATGAAAGTGTACAGTTAAAATATCCGATTGTTCTATTCATAAAGTTTCAAACTTTAAGTTTGTAAACCATACATTAGCAACATCATTCTGGAATGAACTGAGTGTCCAAAGAATTGAATCTGCTTGTTGTAATATTCGCAGATATTGGTTTGTTTTGTCAATTTCTGTGTAGATGAATATTTGCCTTGGGAATTTAGGTGGGATTGTTGATCAAGGAATTTCTCCTTTTCAGTTCCAAGGGCGGATGAATGCACTCGTTGTGCTGCGACATTATTTAAATTCATCTCTGAACTCTGTCTCAATAATACTTCTGTTTCATGTTACAAAATATTATCTTTTGATTATACTTAATTCAGGAATTAATTATATATTAAAATATATTTAAATAGAAAACAGTTATTTTACTCTATTTATTATCAAATAATTGCCAGCTTGGTTAGCATTGGTAACACTTTATTTTTGGGTCCAATTCTCGCATTTAACTAGTTGCTTATTAGCATTTATATTAGGATAATGGCTGTTTATTTGTACTTATAAAGCACATATTAACACCGCATTCTGCATAACCATAGTCTACATCCCTTAATTATATTCCTGAACTTAACAACTACCTTAATAACTAGTAATAATCAGTAAATTATGAGTTTATTGAGGCATAAGTTGTATTTAATAGTGAATTTGTTCCCCATAAGAGTTCCCAGAGCATCAATACTGATACTGACCCTAAACCTTTGAATAGTAGTGGATGTTTAGGATATTATGTTTTCAGAAAGGTAACACACATTTTGTTTGGCTATTAAATACTTTTACTCAATGTTTTGAAACTACAATTTGGTTCTTAGAGAATTTAACGCAAATATTTATACCAAAAAAAAAAAAAATGTCTGCTTGAGAAATTTACTTCTTGAAAGTATGATATCATTATGACAGATTTTTTTGATTTATGAATCACAATGGTAAAAGGGTTGACTCATAACCCGAGGACATTATTTAAAAACGATTTAGTATTATGCAATTTTATGTAAAATCTAAAAATATATAGAGAGAATAAAAATAAAATGTTGTCCTGCAGGGACAAAAAAAAAAAAACAGATCTAGAAGTGTGAATGGATGGTAGACATGAAAGAAGTATGATGTGTTTTACTCCATCTAAAGTCTAAACAATTTTACATAAAAAAAAATGTATAAAGTCGGCTAGAAAGCTAAAGAAAAGCCATTAGTAGGTTTGGAAAGTCATCAAAGACAATAGCTGACAGTAGCTGTTATAAACAGAAGTATTGAGACCGAGTTCAGTGATGAATTTAAATAATGTCGCAGCACAACGAGTGCATTGATTCATCCGCCTTTGGGACTGAAAGGAGAAATTCTTCAATCAAAAATCCCACCTAAATTCTCAAGGCTTATATTCATCTACACAGAAACACAGTGTTGTTTCTGCTTTGTACATGTTTGTATCCATTGCCTGTTCGTGCATTTCGGGGGCGGAGCAATGAAGAGAGGGGTGTGTTTGTTTGGGTTGATTTTATATATCAACTTTGATTCTCAGAAATCACTTACTACACATTTAAAACACAATTTTTAGACAATGAAATGACCTTTGTATAATATCCTACAATGAAATAGATAAATTCATAATGTGTCTCTGTATTTCTCTTTGCTCTACAGGTGTGCCCCACCACAGTCCAGATTCTTCTCCATAAAATGCTCCCCAAACGTTCATTACAAGGTCACGCCCCCGACCAAGGACAGGAACACCTCGCCGTACCCCCTCACCCCAAACTCTATCCTCCTCATCACCATGGACACAGTCAGTGAGACTGCGTTTGACAGCAAGGTACCTAAATCTAACATCAAGAGCACCGTACAGCACATGCAGAAAGAATCTGTGGAATTTTTCCTCGTTCTCTATCTGATTTTGAGGAAAATTCAGCAGAATTGATTTAAACATAAGTGTTTGAGACTGAGCCAAAACTACTACTCCCCAGTATCTGATAATCTAAGCATTATGAAACTACTGTAGCACAACTATTTAAAAGGAGGATGTGATGGGAATGTTTCCGTGTGGGTATGTTTCTCGATAATGTCCTTTAGAAAACATACAGAACTGAAAGAAACTGCGGAAAGCAAAGAGCGTGTCTGTGGTTTACCCCAGTCTATGCAGGAAACCGTGGTTTACACGTAGACACGATCTCACGTCACTTTCTTGCACTGGCAGTTTGAATACTGGACATATTTAGTGCATTTTTTAATACAATGATTGCTCAATAATTGTCATGAGGATCCAGCTCATGCTTGTTTCTAAGAATCAGATGTGTTTCAGTTATCTGTTAGGTACTATGGTGAGAAAACGGAGGCTCTTGAGGACGCTTTGCTGCATCTAACAGCTGTCGGTACGTTTCACTATGCAAGACATACGCCTGTGTTTATGAATAGTATCAGGATGTGTACTGCAACTATAAACAGCCTCATGATACTGGTGGGACTGTGAAGGAAAGAGCAAGTCTCACATTGCCTCTATTCTGTTGCAGAGATATCTCTGGACGTAGATGCCGACCGAGATGGCGTTGTTGAGAAAAACAATCCGAACAAGGTGAGCTTTGTTTGCCGGTAGTCTTGCGATCTGTTATATATCATCATTATTTGGAAGATTTATTTTTGCCTCATTGTTTTTTGGCTTAGAGATGGGGCTGGAAAGTCTGATAAAATTAATAACTTGATTAATTTAGATGAATTAGAAGCCTTAGAGATATGATAAAGCCACATTTGTTTGCATATTAAAGGGATAACGGAAATGTTGTTCCAAATCTGTGACTTTCTTTCTTCTTGGAAACATTTTGAAAAATGTCTCTGCGCTTTCTTTTGTAAATACAATGGAAGTCAATGGGGTCCAATGTTTTCTGAACGCCGTTGACTTTCAGAATCTTTTGTGTTCCAACAGCATTGTAGATGATATGTCTAATTGTACTGGATTTTGGGTTTAGGCATCCTGGAAATGGGGTCCTAATGGCCACGGTGCAGTTTTGCTGGTAAACTGTGACTCCGAGACCTCATACAAAAAGAAAGTGGACAGTGAGAAGGATGATATCAGTAAAGTTTCGGGTGAGTCTAGGCAGATCTGGGATAAGATATGGGAGGGATTTAAGTCTCGCCGCAGATATTTGTTATGTGTAAATAGACTCTGTCTGTACCAAACCCATGTTTAAACAATGTTGCAAAATGAGTATTCCTTATTAATCATTCATTATTAAAGGATAACTCCGGCGCAAAATTAACCTTTAGTCTAATAACACAATAACACTGTTTAGCATATAACGCTAGTATATGGGGGCATTTACTAAGTAAAAAGAAATCGCTAGTTAATACCACTAACAAGGCTCAAAATAGCCCCACACTAACACAGTAACATAATGAGGGTCCATACATGCAAAACGAAGCATTGAGAACTTTGTAAGCGTGCAGACTGTTTACCAAGAAGATATTTTATAAAGACAGTTCACTTCGTGTATACAGGCAGGAGCCATCTTTGGAAAATAGTCTCGATAAGTCGAACCACGAACTGATCTGTATGAACGGCGTTCGTGGTTCGACTTATCGAGACTATTTTCAAAGATGGCTCGTGCCTGTATACACGAAGTGAACTGTCTGAACAATATCCATAGATTTGAATTAGGTGCACAATTTTGCATTTTTAGCTTAGTTACCATTGGACTTTACTCTTCAAATGCTATGCTGTGAAAGGGAAGAGAGAATTTAATCTAATGTATCTTTTTTTTTTTTTGATGGCAGATTTGCAGGACATGTCCAAGATGATCTTGCGCACCAACGGGCCGTCTAAACTTCCTGAAGGCTATAAACTGAGCATGCACATCTCGCAGACCACTTCAGAGAGCGTGAGAATCTTTAGACCTCGGACAAATGTGCCGAAAGACAACGTGTGGAGTAAGTGTTGACACCAACACCTGCAAAATAATACGATAATGTTTTAAATGGGGGATGTCCCGGACGGTCTCAAGGATTGGTATTGAGGGCATACATTTTTGCTCAAGATCTTGTATTGACAATGCAAGAGTCCAGCAGTTTGTAAAGTCTCCTCCAACACAACCCAAAGACTTTCAATGAATTTAAGGTCTGGACTCAGAGGTGCACATTCATGTATGAAAATGATTCTTCATTCTCCCTCCCTACCAAGAAAATAAGTAAATAAATGTAAATAACAACAAATTTTTTTTTTATAATCATCTATTCCCTAAACTATTTAAGAAAACAGAATATCTGTAAATGTGCAACAATTTTTTACACGCATGCATATTGTGATGCATGAAAACCATTGGGACATCTGCATAAGGTGGTGGAAATGTAAAATTATGTCAACAGTTTATATAAATATAATGTACAATTGATTAAATAAATGAAGTAAAAAACAAAAGTATTACAAAGGAACATCAAAACTTTACTGAATGGCTCCTCTTTCCCTGTACCAGAGCACAAACTCCTGAAGTTGTTCATGAAAGATTATCTAATGGTGGTTGGAACAGATAAGCTGACACAGGAAGTGCCCTATCAGGGAGGAAATACTGAACTGATGTTCTATGTAGAAGGCCTTCGCTTCCCTGATAAAGACTTTGATGGGCTCATCACCATCAACCTTAGTCTACTAGAGCCCAGTGGCAAGGTTAGTGAAAGAAAAACCACTGTCTGATCCTCCATTAAACCCATTTACACTGTTGTTTTCTATCCAATCCAATTTGGTAATATAATTCTTATAACCTTCTGTCAGTATTTACTCACCCTCATGTTGTTCCAAACCTTTATGTGTTTATTTGTTCTGCTATACACAAAGGAAGAATGTTTTAATCAAACAGATCTCATTCCCCATTGACTACCATAGAAGGAAAAAATACATACTATGGTAGTCAATGGGGAATGAGATCTGTTTGATTAAAAGTCAAGTCAGGTCAAGTCACATTTATTTATATAACGCTTTTCACAATACAGATTGTATCAAAGCAGCTTCACAATGATAACATGAAATAGATAAAACATTCTTCCTTTAAAACAACATAAAGGTTTGGAACAACATGAGGGTGAGTAAATACTGACAGAATTTTCATTTTTGGGTGAACTTACCCTTTACGTAAATACGATTCTGCTTGTTTTCTTAAAAGGATTTGCCTGAAACGCCCATCTTTACTGATAAAGTCCTATTTCATGTCTCACCCTGGATCATGACCCCTAACACCCTCAAACCTGTGGAGGTCTATGTGTGCAGGTGAGAGGGGAGCAGTGTATATACACTCACACTGTATTTATCTTGTAAGCCTTGGGGACGGTTGACTATTTGATGTTTTTGACAGCACAACGGATAACATCTCATTCCTGAAGAGCATAAGGAACCTGGTGGAGAAGAATGGCTACAAACTTAAAATATGTCACGAGTACATGAACCGAGGTGACCGCTGGATGCAGGTCAGTTATTGGGGAAAGAACATGACATATTGTTAATAAACATTAAATGTAGTAAAATATAAATGAATAAATGTCACTTGTATAATAATTTGGAACATGTATGGAACAATATGTCAATTTAATAATATACATTATATACCTGACAGAATAAGATTCCTAACAAGTGTTTTAAAACCAAAACTGACATTGGAAATAACTTTGGAAATGACATTGGAAATTACATTTTGGAAATGACAGCCGACCTGACATTGGAAATAATGACAAAGCATGCAGTTTATTGGATGATCATAGGATGATGCATATAAAAACAACTTGATAAACCTGTCAGATGACTGTCAAATGAATTCCCACTGACACGCTCTCACTCTCGTTCTCTACAGGATGAGCTTGAGTTTGGTTACATCGACTCTCCCCATCATGGTTTTCCTGTTGTACTGGATTCTCCTCGTGATGGAAATCTTCAGGACTTCCCCTATGAGTCCCTTCTGGTGAGTGACACCAAGAACTGCTCAGAAAATTAAGTCAAAATTGAAAATTGTCATTTTCTCACCCTCATCTCATTAAATGTTTTTTTTTTGAATGTTGATGACTTGATAGAATCATGTTTTGATCACATACTAAAAGAAGGAGGTTTAGAATCACTAAACATTGCGTGACAGGGGCCAGACTTTGGATATGTGACCCGGAACGCTTTGAATGAGGAGGTGAACAGTCTGGACTCCTTTGGTAACCTGGAGGTCAGTCCACCAGTCACAGTGAATGGGAAAAGTTACCCACTTGGCAGGATCATCATTGGTGTGGCATTCCCTACGTAAGTATCACAACTGTACCCTAAAACTACAATGTAGTAACCACAACTAAAAAGGAACATTGATATAATTTTTTGGCTTCCAAACAACATGCTGATGTATTAATCAATCTAATACCAGTCTTTATGAATATTTTCGTTTAATTTTAAGTGCAAAAGATGGCCGCAACATGACCCAAGTCGTCCAGGAATTCCTGTGGGCACAGAAGGTTCAAGAGCCAATTGCGCTCTTCTCTGATTGGCTAATTGTGGGTCATGTGGACGAGTTCATGACCTTCGTCCCAGCCCCTGACCGAAAGGTAAACAGATATGTTCAGAATGGCAAACTGACATGCACTACCTAAATAATTAATTAAAGAAGTCTATTATGCTCACCAAGGCTGCATCTATTTGATCAAAAATAAATGTCAAAATGTAATTTATTCTTGCGAGGCAAAGCATTACTCCAGTCTTCATTGTCACATGATCCTTCAGAAATCAATATGCTCAAGAATTTTTTTTGCTGCTTATTATTTTTGTGGATACTGTGATATACTACCATTCAAAGGTGTGGGGCTTGTAAGACTTATTGAAATTAATATTTCTATTCAGCAGAGATGCATTAAATTGTTCAAAGAGACACAATAATACTGTTTTGATCAAATAAAGCTTTGTTGAGCATAAGAGACTTTCAAAAACAATTCTTATTTAATTCTACTCCACTCTGAGCCAATGTTTTTAAAGAGCTGTAATGTTTGAAATGTTCAGAAATTCCGGTTGCTCCTGGCCAGCCCGGATGCCGCATATAAAGTTTTCAAAAGCTTACAAAACACGGGACACGAAAAAGCGGAAATGTTTCCAGGTAAACTCTCACTAATTTTCTACTTTTGAAAAAAGATGTCCACTATGCACTAAAGTTCATATTCTAGCTAACATGTTTACTTGAACAGGGATGCCAGAGGCCATTACGGTTAATGCCATCCTGAGTGACAAAAAGCTACAGGCTGAAAACCGATACGTGCAGGTCAGTGAAATGAGCAGCATGGCATTAAGATGTGTTTTGTATCCAAATAGTATCTATATATATGTATTTTTAGCCAGATTACAGTACAGTGTTCCAAATCTGTCTTTTCTGTGGGAAATAAAGCATCATATAATCTTCCACTCAGAACTGCATTGACTGGAACAGGGACGTGCTGAAGAAAGAACTGGGGTTGGATGATGAGGACATCATCGATTTGCCCATCCTGTTTAAACTGCAAGAAGACGATAAAACAAGCCCAAGGGCCGTGGCTTACTATCCCGACATGGTACAGCACATTATCAAGAACTTACTGAAAGTCCGTTCACATTTTGACCAATTGCTTTTTCTTTTAACTCTTTCCCCGCCAAAGTTGCCAGCTACCGCCAGAGTTTTTGATCATTTTCACAAAATTGTCATCATGGCCCCCAGAATATTTAGTTGTATGAATACAATATATCCAAAGAAAGAACAGAACCTTTGTTATTTTACAAAAAAAAATGCATGCACTTTAAAAAAAAAAAGCATGCCCATCAACACTCGATTGTAAGTAAGTTTCATTAAAAAAGCAACTTTTTGAACAAAAAGCTGAGAAAATCACATTTTTGTCAAAGTCCAGATCGGATTCAGAACGATGATCAAAACATGTTTGGAGTAGACAAACAGAAATCCGTACATTTCCGTCAATGATGGGGAAAGTGTTAATGGAAAACAGATGATCAAAACATGCACTACTGTTCATAAGCTTGAGCCTCGGCAAGACTTTCTATTGTCTCTTACACTTACTTGTAGTTTTTTTATGCATTACCCACCTATATTTACCCTCAGGTGAACATGATCGTGTTGGGGAACCAGCTGGGCATCCCAAAACCTTTCGGGCCCCAGGTGAAGGGCCGGTGTGCTCTGGAGACAGAGATGTGTTCTCTTATGGAGCCTCTAGGCCTCAAATGTACCTTCATTGATGACTTTGCCCCATACCACAAACTGATGGGGGAAGTTCACTGCGGTTCCAATGTTCTTCGAGAACCATCCCCTTTCAGATGGTGGAACCTCGAGCTGTGAGAGAGAGGGAGAGGGAGACTAGGATGAATAGAGACCTGTCAAGTGCCTACTATGTCTAAAGCAGGATAAATGGGTGTTTTAACAAGTTCATTCTAGCAATAAATAAATAGCCTTGTCGTTCAAGCAAAATGGAATAATTCATCTAAAAATGTAAACTCTGTCATCATTTACTCACCCTCATGTCATTCAAGCTGCTCCTTTTGGCAAGCTACCCCACAAATCATTCCTGTCACTATGTACATGTTCTGAGATTGTATAACAGCTTTCTGTAAGGAATTACATATGTGAGCAGATTATGACAATTTTGTGATCTATAATATCTTTTTAATAATTTTCCTCTGGCAACCAGGCCTTGTTTTAGCAGTACAGCTATTCCTGGGCTGCTTCTGTATTTCTAAAATACAAAAAATAAGGGCTTACAATTTGGAATCATTCTGGAGTGGTTCAAATGAAAGTTAACCACTTATGGCATTATGATGCATTAATGTTCACTGTGTTGCCTCTTACTAATAATGGCTGAGAAATGTATTCTATATTTGGTGATTTGCTGTCTTGGATGATTTTTCCAAATAATGTACTTTTAAAGCAATAAATAAACATTTCATGAACAACTTTGATCTTTATTAAACATGATTTCTCTGGTTTCATTACAAAAAGGAGAAAAGGTCTTATTTACAGTAAAACATTTCATTAAAGTAGCATAATAAGCACTTGTAAAAGAACACAATCACTTGCAGAAAGCAGTCGGTGTTTGTTTGGAATGAGTTTGTGCTTAATGTCTGGAGCATGTGCAAATGCATTATGTACAGTTCGACCAATCAGCAGAGACTTAGGCTCTAACACAGCTTTAAGTGTGGATTCAGCTAATCCAAAAATAGTTTTCTCTTCTCCATGTACAGTTTTGTAAGTATCACCCCTGAAAGGACACCACTATTAATGTAAAAATCCGTAAAAAAAAAAAATTCTACTGCACCCTTTCAAATGAAAAGTGAACTGGGATGTTAGTCGTAGAGTAGATTAGAGTATTAGAGTAGATATTTTGCCAGTGACTGATGTTTTTAATGTCACAGCTTGGTATTGTTATAATTCATCACATTTACAGCTCATGTAATTGGCTAAAAAAACTGTATCCCATAAGCCAATGAGATGAATGGGAATGCTAACCGATAGCCTTAAAGGGATAGTTCACTTTAAAATTAATTTTTGGTATGTTTTAGCTTACCTCAAGGGTATCCAAGATGTAGGTGTCTTTGTTTCTGCAGTATTTTCAATTTGGATATTTTTAGGTCAAACCGTTTGTGTCTATCAGCCATATAATGAAGGTCTATGGTCACCACCTTAAAAAGCATGCACAGAGAAGTCCAAATTAAACATGATTTATTGACTGTGTAATGTAATGTAAGTGCACATTGATGGCCTAAGACACGAAACGAGCGGTTTGTGTGAGAAAACGAACAGTATTTCTATTTTTTACCTCTTGTAACTAGGGGTGGGGTAAAAAATCGATTCTCGATGCATCGCGATGCGGACGTGGACGATCCTGAATCGATTCACTAATGTCAAAAAATCGATTTCAAAAAAAAAAATTTTATATGCATTTATAATAACGTAATATTGACGGACCGCGAAAGACGGAACTCTGAAGCGCGGAAGTGCAGTGGCCGGACCGTCTGTGGCGTGCACATAACAGAGATTAGATGGCACGCGAGATCCAAACACCTTCCTTGTTAGGTTAAAAGCTGACGTGTGGAAATATTTTGGCTTCTGAAGTTGAAGGGGGAAAGGAGCTGGACAAGAGCCGCACTAGTTGCGCGCTTTGTGGAATAAAACCAACGACGGAAACACGACAAATATGATAAGCCATATGACACCTTTCCAGCCAGAGGAGGAAAAACACTCGGCTGCACCAGTCGTTATATTATTTATTTACTACAAGTATGCTCCTAGTTCAAGCACACATTTATTTTCCTGGTCGTTCTTTGTAATGTTAATAAAATATATTGTGCATTAATTCTTTATGGGTCATTACTTTGTACTTTTAAAGCAAATTATTTATAGTCACACACAAAAGATTCAGATAATCGATTTGTAACATTATAAATGTCTTGTACTTTAACTTTTGATCAACTTAATTTATCCTTGATGAATAAAAGTATAGATTTCTTTTTTCTTTTGCCCAAAAAATTAAATAAAAATTCTTACCGACTCCAAACATTTGAACGGTATTGTTTAATGTTACAAAAGCTTTCTATTTCAGATAAATGCTGTTCTTTTGAATTTCTAGGTGATTCTCTGAATCGGGTGCCCTTCAAGTCCCCCAAACTTGCTTCAAATATTTTCAATTGAAGGAAATCACAAAATACATTTTAATGCTGTCAATTAATAGAACCAGGTGCATTTGCATTATAATGCAACAAAATTGCTTTTGAAAAAAATGTAAAGTTTATACATTTAAAGATAATGAGTTGCCTAAGTAGTAGACAACAAGCATGTTTGCATGTCCTCACTAACCATCATTATATTCATCATTATATTTTCAATGAATAGCCTATCAAACAAATAAAAAGTGCAATTAATACCAAAATGTTGCTGCTGCTAATATAATCATATGTTGGCACACAAACCGCTCGTTTCGTGTCTTAGGCCATCAATGTCTACTTACATTTACGAGTCATTAAATCATGTTTAATTTGGACTTCTCTGTGCGTGCTCTTTGAGGTGGTGACCATAGACCTCCATTATAAGACTGACAGACAAGAACGGTTTGACCTAAAAATATCTACTGGGGAAACAAAGACACTTAAGTCTTGGATGCCCTTGAGGTAAGCTAAAACATATCAAAAATTAATTTCAAAGTGAACTATCCCTTTAACACCATAGTACTAAGTGAAAAAATTTGGAATGGGTAGTTAAAAAAAGTCTTAACATTAATACAATATGTATTTGTGTTTGAAAACAAAACAAAGTGTCCGCCATTTTTTATTGAGCATCCATTGTGTATATTTTCTGACCTAGTGTTTTTAGTGGCCATATCCACTACCATATGTCTGCAGTTTCATTAGTTTTACATTCATTTTGCTCACTTGCCATATAAGCTAAAAAAAGACTTCAGGACTCCAGTATATCTGACGTGAGAGACACTGACCTTTCAATCTGCACAGCAGGCTTTAAAACATGAAACTACAAACATGAAGCTACTACATTAGTGTACAGTTTACACACACACACACACACACGTCAATTTTACCACAGGCAGCTGTGGTCGTACAAAATATGTTGATCCGTAAAACAGCACAATCTTAATAAATAATATTTAAAAAACGTATACAGTATCTCACACCTGATCTATTTGTTTCGTCATAAATTATAATGTCTATATGCTTTGTTTATTAGACAGGATCTGAAATGGCTTTAAAGAAACATCTATCAGAAGAACGACATTTAACATTTACTTATATTCATTTTCAACATCATTACTCATTACTGACACAAAACGCAACCGAACAGAGCCACACATAGATGTGTATTACAGTGCTTTGCGGGTATTTGAAGCATGATGGGTTTAAGTTGAACTTCATTTGTTATTCTGAAAGATGCCGAAAGCTTGTGACCGCTTACCACCCCCCCGTTTCTAAAAGACCTACACACCACAGTGAGCCTCAATAAATAAATAAATATGACAAATAAAAAACAAACACACACTATGAGAGACAGCTAAAGAAAGAAGCCTATGATAAGGCCATAAGAATCATGCGTGATTGGTTTCCCAGCTGGCAGTGTACCAGTCTTCAACAGACGCCAGGCGGGTTTGCTCTTTCGCCTGTGGTCCGACAGCCACATGATAGAAGATAAAGAGGTGGTGTGTGTCCTTACGAGAGCGCGATGATATTCTGATGCACACTTGCCCCGACTGTACGCCGCACGACTGTAACTAGTGCTTCACACACTTTCACATCTGCGTCTCTCTCGAGGAACTCTTATGAGCACATCGACTGTCCACTGCGAAGGGCTGCTTATGAAAATGCTGAGAATAAGACATATGATTCATGAGAATAACATACACGAACTTATATACATATAAGTTTATATAAAGATATTTCTCTTCTGCTCACCAAGGATGCTTTTTATTTAAACAAAAACACAGTAAAAACTATAATACTGTGAAATATTATTACAATTAAAGTAACTTTTAACTGAAAATAACTGATGTTGTGTAAAAATGTGATGTAAAGTTGAATTTTCAGCATCATTGTCACATTGGTGCTCAAGAAACATTATCGTCAATGTTGAAAATCAATATTTTTGTGGAAACAGTTATAAATTTTTTTCTTTGATAATGTCAAAAGAACAGCATTTTTTTTGAAATTGAAATCTTTTGTAACATTATAAATGTGTTTACCGTCACTTTTGATCAATTTAATGAATCCTTGCTGAAAAGAAGTATTAATCTCTTCGGTAACACTTTACAATAAGGTTAGTTTACTACCGTATAATGAACAATACTTTTTTTAGCATTTATTAATCTTAATAATTTCAACATTTACTAATACATTATTAAAATCAAAAGTTGTATTTGTTGACACAAGTTAATGCACTGTTAACTAACGTGAACGAACAATTAACAGCTGTATTTGTATTAGTTGTTGTTAATGAATGTAGTTAACTAATATTAAAAAATGAACCGTAAATTGTTCCCAAAAAAAATTGGAAATCTTACTAACACCAAAGTCGTGCAATTTTCCAAATGTCATGCTATATTACAAATAGCAATACAACTAACAAATAAAACATAAAAGTCATAAATGAGACCATTTAAATGACACATCCATATAGACCTTATGCAGCGGAGAAACAAGCGTGCGGCCTTCTTTAGAATTTAGTGTTTGAACTTCAGTTTTTGTGATAGCTCTGCACACTCTTAGAAGAAATGGTTCTATTTAGAACCAGAAATGGTTCCATCCCCCGCTTTATATATGGAATTGCAAAATGGTTCTATATAGAACCATTTTTTTGGTAAAAGGTTCTATTGGCCAAGTATGGAACCCCAGGGTTCTATATAGAACCCAGAGGAACCCTTTTTTAAGAGTGTATAGAACCTTTTAGGGGTTCCAAATACGTAGCGCTGATAGAACCTTTTAACGTTCTATATAGAACCTTTTCTTCTAAGAGTGTATATTTCTATGGCATCGCTGTGGAAGAGTAATTAGCCGGTGAAGTGCATTTACTTATTATAGAGTTAACGAAATCTATCATGAGCATTATAATGCTTGAAGAGGATTTTATAATGTCAGTAGACCGGGAAGATTTCAAAACGAGTAGTTCATTCATAAATCCATAAGATCTTACCTTCACGTTGTGGAAATACAAACCGGAAGACAGGAACACAACGAGCGCTGAAAGGCTACATAAGGTCTATATAGGCTCCATAAATATATCATAGATATAATCCTCATATTTGCTCTTCCTGACCTGTTTATGGACATTCATGAAGTCATCTACAGCATACCGGACAGCTAGCAGTTCTGTGTAGGACAAACACACACAGGCACACTACATCATTTGATTTACTTGATTTACGATTTACTTGACTAAACAAATATCAAGATAAACTACATTAGATCTGTTGATCAAGAGCAGATGTACAGGTAGGTAGAGAGAGAGAGAGAGAGAGCGAAATGGTCGTGCTATGACTTAAAATGGATCAAATCGAGCATGTTAATCAACATTAGTCATGGTTTGCAGTCCTAATTTAGCTTCTCACGACCATCTTCCACCCTCCCTGACACCATCTCTTCTCCTCTGGCTGTAAGACTTCATCATTTAGGACTAGAATATCTTTAAAGGGGTGGTTTACTGTTTTGTCTTTACATGATTGTGTTTATTGGGTGCAATATAACATGTCTCTGGTTTTTTTAAGCCTTATTTTTCATACATTTCACCTTTATTGTAAGCCGCTTTCTCCGACCGGTTGACTATGAAACAACTCCCTCAGAAACAGGCAATGGGCTCAGACTGGTTAGTTTGGGTTTGTTACTTATAAAACCCGGGAAGCATCTTGTTGTAGTCTTATTCGAGTCGTTTTTGTAGGCATTAAACTGTCTGTTTTTTAAAAGATGATATCTCTGCTTACGTTGAACTTTCAGCACTGCAACTTTGCAGATACTCTTCACGCACCAACAGCAACATTACACACTATTTAAAATGAAAAAAGTGAAATCGAAATCAACCACCCCTTTAAGGTCCATCACATTTCTCACCGAGTGTTGTCTCTCTGTTTTGGGCCTTAGAGGTTCAGACTGCTGCCGAATGGGACCTACAGTGAAACGGACGACTGTTAAAGCCTGGACACAAATTTTACTACTATAACATAAGTTGCATTTACACATTTGACAGATGATTTTATCTCTGGGCATCAAACACATGACCTTGGAATTGTTAGCATTATGCACTACTGTTTGTGCTACAGGGATGCTAATGCTAGAGAGCAGCAGTCAACATATTTCAGGCCTAATATACATAAAAATCCAATAAATTTTTTTGTATAGTCAAACATTTCAATTATAAGTAATCCTGATAATATTTCTTCACATGTTTGTTAACCCTCACCATGTGTACTGCTCTGACTAGCGCTACCAGAGCCGTCTTCCAACCACACGGCGCTGTATGAAAATGAATCTCGTTTGTGAGGCGTGCCGGCTAAAGACAGACTTTCCTGTGTTGCAGAAAAAAAGACAAACGTGCAAAACAACATAACCAGTCAGTCTTGCCAAATGATCTAGTTGTACTGATGTTTCTCTTCAGGCTATTAAATGCAAATTCCAATACACCCATATGCATTTGGATGCGAATAGTACAGGCAGGTCGTCTTCTCTGCCTGTTCGTTTTTATGTATTGTATGTACTAGAACAATGTGAGCACAATGTAGCTATAGAATCATGTATTAATGAGTCATATGTGTATGTGGCCGCACCAGTCCTGTGTCGTACTCCTCAGTCGCTTCATGTTGCTGCTCGTTCTCCTCCACCACACTGGTGAAGCTGCTGGCATTCGACGAGGAGCGAGAAAGGTCCTGGGACTCTGGGATAGAAGGAGCTCGACAGCACAGGGCGGATCTACAGTACAAACACACACACATACTCAAATGAACCTGAAATATTGAACTAAACACCCTCAAAGTGCCACTATTATGCTTTTTTGATATTACCACACTTTTTTTGGATATTATATTTGTAGTGTGTAGTGATATATAGATGTTTGTGGATGTAAAAGGTCAGCAATGTTTCAAAGATCAGTTTTTTTGTAACACATTTGCATAATGGCAGTCTATGGTCTTCATTGGCTGCCTGTGAATAACATCTACTCTCTCAAACACTGTAGTTGTATCTGAGGACTGGAAGAGTTTGGTTCGTGTTGTTGACATGTCGAGAAGCCGCTGTTTGCAAATCCACTTTGTATGCACTTCCAAAGGATGAGGACTCAGGCTCAAATTGATAAGATAAAACCGGCACCATTGTAAATGTTCGTACCACTGTGTATTAAGTGCTGAGGAAACCTCTGAGGCTGAAATTTAGATATGGTAACGGCCGTTTAGTGTCCAACACTTTAGACCAATCACGACAGACTGGGCTGTCTGACCAATCAGAGCAGAGATCAATCCTTGATCGAACCGGTTCAGACAGTGTGAGAAAAGAGGTGATCCTGCAATCTAAGTACCTTTTGATGCATGTAAAACCTATTGTAGGAGACCTCCAAAACAACGTTAGGAGCCTTTAAAATAGCATAATAGAGGCACTTTAAGCGCACATGGTTAATGATTAGATCTTATTTTTGATTTCAATCAACATATCACCAAACACAAATCATCTGCACATTAAAAGCAAAAGTTGCTCACTTTTTGACCTTTGCACTACTCTGCCCATTTGGTTAAAAGGTGTTGGGCTGTATTTTGCCATTGCATTCCACATCCATGTTAGGTGATTGCAGATGCAAATTCTCAACACATTCATCACAGTTTAAATGAGTTGTATTACTCATTGACAAACTAGTAAATCTATAACAATTGTTTGAACTAAAATAAAGGGAAGCAAATATCTATTATTTGCAGTTGGGAGTGGTTCTGTGTAAAGGTTGAACCTATCAAGGAGCGGTCCAAGAGCAATTGTAATGGTCCTCTTTAAAGAAGCTAACTAACCTCAGGTTATAGTCTATGTACTTCCTACACATTTTGGTGATTTTGATTATGATTTTGATGGGGTTGATTATTTTTTAAAGTAGTGTATGTGTGTATGGATACACATGCTTATAACAATGATTAAAAAAAAGACAATGAATTCACATTATAATATACATCTTTCCTGGAATGTAAAGATCAGATCATATAAAAAACTAGTAGTTAAAACTAGACATCCAGATACACTGTGTGGGTTTAAAAGTGATTACATGCAAACAGACGTCAGTGTTTTGACTGGTGCTCACCCAAACTTGGTGATCTGCATCTCAGGTGAGCTCTGATTGGACCAGTTGTCTAATTTGAGATCTTGAAGGGTGTGTCCACCATCAGATGCCCTCTGTGGACTCGGGGACACCTCTCGACTACTGGAACATAACGATTAACACATCTTAATTATTGTTTTCAGAACTTCCGTTTTTGAATTAAACTTAACGTGACACATAATAAAAAATATATTAATTTTCAGATACTTACTGACCTTAACACACAGTAATGAGAGTGTTATCTTTAATATTTCCTGTTTTATGGTTTTCTTGTCAACAAGACAACTTCATGCATGTTGGTTATAACACAATAAGTTAAAATTAGTGGACAGCTTTCAAATATTACTATTACTTATAAAACAGGTTTTATTAAAGGGATAGTTCGCCCAAAAATGAAAATTCTGTCATCATTTACTCACCCTTAAATTGTTCCAAACCTGTATAAATTTCAGGAAGATATTTTGAAGAAAGTTTGTACCCAGGCATCATTGACTTCCATAGTAGAAAAAAAAAAAAAAAATGAAAATCCCCATGGAAGTCAATAGTGCTGTTCAGTTTCCCACATTCTTCTAAATATCTTCCTTTATGTTCAACAGAACAAAGAAATGTAAACAGGTTTGAAACAACATGAGGGTGAGTAAATGATGACAGAATTTATTCATTTTATGGAAAACTACTTAAAGTGTATTTCCCCAAAAAATGTCTGCCTTTTATTTATTTTTTGTTATGAAGACAGAATGTCCACCTTAAATTTTTTTTAAGCTTAATTAAGGTTTCTTACTTTCTGAACCTTACATGGCTTCAACATGAAATACTCTCAACTTTTCCATACAATTGTCAGTTCATCTTACCTTCTCTCCTGAACCTCTTGTATATTCTCAATCCCTATGGCACTGCTCCTTCTGGAACTGAATGGACCAGATTTCTTACGGGTTGGGCTTTTTCCAGGAATAATCAGTGACTGTGGAGAAATCACAGTTGGGTCAGGTTTTGATTTAAATTATTAGCCAGTTCCACTACATAATTTCTTCAATATGTGCATTTTTATTTTTATTCATTTTAAGCCAATTTTATATCCATTTTAATTATTATTATTATGCGAGCAAAATTTGAATTACCATTACGTATGAAATGTTTTGAGTAAATCAACTTGCTGTGCTTGCTATTGTCATTAGGGGGCTAATAGATTTATGATTAAACACAAAGGAATCAGGTATGATATCAGGTAAAAGCAAAGCAGAAACTGGATTATCAGCGCAACACACTCCACCTCAGGTTACTTAAGAAGACAGACCCTGTAATTGTATGTATTGTATATTGCAATAATAACACAATAATAGAACATGCTGTAAAAAACACTTTTTTAATGGAATGAATATAAAAGTAACCTTTTTTTAAGCTGCAAATCTCAAACTGAAGAACTAGAGGCCCCAGTTACCACTTAGTCTTTGAGCACTCTTATTATTATTATCATTATGAATAACAAAAAGGAATGAGCCTTTCAATTTCATAAGAGTTGTTGATTAATTTAAGTGTACGTAAATAAGTCTTGCGGTGTAAATGCAGCCTAGATGACCTTGAAAATCAGCCCAGAATGAAAAATCCTGGTTTAATCAAGCTGTCAGAAACTTTACAGTTTTGCAAACGTTTGATGTCTTTATCTGGTTTCTGGGACAGTTGTTGCAAACACACTAGCACATTCGCGGATGGCTAATAGGCTGTTATGTCAACCTGTCACGAAAGTCTCTCTGAGTTATTGCTGTTGCTCTTGTTGTCATGGCGACGGAGATGGGACGGTCACTTGTGGAGAGCCCCATCTGTTCCACCGACCCCCATCCAGACAGATCATAAGAGCTGATTACACATCAGTTTTTCTCTCTTTTAATGCTGAAATGATGAAGATCAGAAATGGCAGGAGAAGACCTGGTCTACCATCAGCACAGATGTGCCATGATGACACGAGCACTCAAGGGTCAAACCCACTCGAAGGGCACAGCGAATGCCAGCTGCGGCCCGCCGGGCTGAGGGATCAGAGGGCATGAAGACTGGCACAAACTACAGCTGGCACACTGTTTTGGGGCATCTCATGACAGACTGATTTTTTTTTTTTTTCCAAGTTCTTGTGTCTTTTTAACAATTTAAGGTCCACTGGCACCCAGAAGGGTCTTCATACTCACAATTCCAGGGGTTTTGGGAGTTTCTGGAGGGTTGTTGGTAAAGCTTCCACTGTGGCTTGTGGAGACGGTGTGCGGTTTCTTGTTACTGAGGCCCATAGCATCCATAGATTGACTTCTATTGCGGATAACTCGCTAGAAAGAGAAAAATGATGCATATGCATCACTGCAACGCAACACTAGAGGGCACAAGAGCTGCTTACATGACAAACAGGAGAGCTAGAGAGAGTAAAGGACAGTGAAACGAAGAAAGTGGCTTTAGACTGGCATACTACATACATACATTTACTGCAGTATGTGTATACTGTGAGATATACAAGGATTTTCTGTATGGGCAGAATACCAGATGAGCTTCATTTGCCAAAATGTAGTACATGTGAGTGTGTGAACACTGTAATCCACAAAGCAATGAGCTCAATTTCACCCTGCATTTCCAGTGTGTGAGTTAATTGACTAATTTACTTATCGTAAGCCGTAAAACTGTTGCGTATTGCTGTTTGAAACTTTTATTTGTTCCATAATGCTTTCTGTTTCACATCCAAACGTTTGAGGTCAGTACACTTTTTTTTGCAAGAAACTAATACTTTTATTCATCAAGAAGGGATGAAATTATTTCAAAAGTTATAGTAAATACATTTAAAATGTTACAAAAGATTTATTTTTTTAAATAAATGTTTTTAAACTCTCTATTTATCAAATACTAAACAAAATTATTCCAAACAAATATTATGCAGCACAATTGTTTCCAACATTGATAATAATAAGATATGTTAACATCCTTCAGCATACCCCCTCTCTTCAACTTAGACTGCACTCACGCCTTTTCCATTAAAGGACAATATTTGCCCCAGGGGGTGGAGCTGGGTGGGTTTAGGGGTGGGTTTAGGGACCAGGGGGTGGAGCTGGGTAGGTTTAGGGGTGGGTTTAGGGACCAGGGGGTGGAGCTGGGTAGGTTTAGGGGTGGGTCTAAGGATGAGGGGGTGGAGTTGGCTAGGTTTAGGGGTGGGTTTAGGGATCAGGGGGTGGAGCTGGGTATGTTTAGGGGTGGGTTTAGGGATCAGGGGGTGGAGCTGGGTAGGTTTAGGGGTGGGTTTAGGGATCAGGGGGTGGAGCTGGGTAGGTTTAGGGGTGGGTTTAGGGATCAGGGGTGGAGCTGGGTAGGATTAGGGGTGGGTTTAGGGATCAGGGGTGGAGCTGGGTAGGTTTAGGGGTGGGTCTAGGGATGAGGGGGTGGAGCTGGGTAGGTTTAGGGGTGGGTTTAGGATCAGGGGGTGGAGCTGGGTAGGTTTAGGGGTGGGTTTAGGGATCAGGGGGTGGAGATGGGTAGGTTTAGGGGTGGGTTTAGGGATCAGGGGGTGGAGATGGGTAGGTTTAGGGGTGGGTTTAGGGATCAGGGGGTGGAGCTGGGTAGGTTTAGGGGTGGGTCTAAGGATGAGGGGGTGGAGTTGGCTAGGTTTAGGGGTGGGTTTAGGGATCAGGGGGTGGAGCTGGGTATGTTTAGGGGTGGGTTTAGGGATCAGGGGGTGGAGCTGGGTAGGTTTAGGGGTGGGTTTAGGGATCAGGGGGTGGAGCTGGGTAGGTTTAGGGGTGGGTTTAGGGATCAGGGGGTGGAGCTGGGTAGGATTAGGGGTGGGTTTAGGGATCAGGGGTGGAGCTGGGTAGGTTTAGGGGTGGGTCTAGGGATGAGGGGGTGGAGCTGGGTAGGTTTAGGGGTGGGTTTAGGGATCAGGGGGTGGAGATGGGTAGGTTTAGGGGTGGGTTTAGGGATCAGGGGGTGGAGCTAGGTAGGTTTAGGGGTGGGTTTAGGGATCAGGGGGTGGAGCTGGGTAGGTTTATGTATTTGTAAGGTGGGAGGAGTTGGATCTGGATCCGACTCCTCCTTGTGGATTTCATGTTCTGCAGTGAGAACCATCTCAAAAATCCTGCCAATGGTGTGTTTAAAATGTAGGCCAACATCACTTATAATTATCCTTTTGTTTGTTGTATGAGATCAGTATCACAATTGCAATCGTGTGGATATTTGGAAAAACTGCATTCTTGCTCGTATAATATTTTATCAAAATTAAAAAAAACAAGAACTCACCGGTTTTTGTATTGAAGAGGGTTTGAGTCTTAAATCGATCTCTATGCACTCTCTGTTTCTATGTTTGTTCTTTATGCTATTAAGTGCTAAAACCCCACTTTTACTTCTACATTGTTATTTTAAGGCGAGGTAGAATTAAATGGATGGCAAAATTCAGCATTTTGTTTGCGTACCCCCCTCTGTCACCCCAGAGGTGAAAGAACCACTGAGTTAGAGATTTAAATGGATTCTACCTTGAAAGACTCAAAGAAGCCACCACCTCCGCCTCCTCCATTCTCCAGTTTGTCGTCATCTCCTCCCAGTCCCATCATGGACTGGCTGTTCACATGCAGCTCCTCATATAAAGTCTCCAGCAGAGCAGAACGTGTCCTCTCCTGGACAACAAAAACATTTTTAATGTAGAATGCATGCTGATGCTCCCACACAACCAAACATTTATGCCCTTCTCACCTCCAGCTTGGCAAACTTCTCTGCTTTATAGCAGTAATATTCAGCATTGATCAGTTTGGTCAAGAGGAACTCATGAAACTCCGGACTCTAAACAAAACACAATTAACAGTGAACAAATTAGATTATCAAATTATATATCAATTCAGTTATTTATTAATTCACCAATTCTTATCATTTACAATTAAGCTAGCAATCTATATTCGCAAAAGAATTGTTTACATTGATTCCATTACTAATTAAATTTATTACTCGTCACCAAGGCTTTATTACTACATTTTGTTTAGGTTTTTTCATAAATAAACAGTAAGTAAGACGTTCCAGTAGTCATATCCAGACATGAAAATTTAAATTTTCCACATTTTCTGTGCTAATTTTAATGGGAATTTTTATGAATGCTGGCTGAAGATATGCACCTTTTTAAAGACAGCTGGGTCTGGGAGGGCAGGACCAAAGAAAGGCACATCATCTCTCGCCGTCACGGATACCTACAATAACATAAAAGAAATTATATCAGATATCAGGAAAGCTTTCAAACTGATCTTTAATTCTCTATACACAATAAGCTATAAGTGACTAATATATTATATTGGGAATCATCATCGCATATTCATTTGAACAAAAATCCTGAATCAAAACAATCACTCCAAGTATGTGAGGAATTCCTATAACAAAGAAATGATTTATTCGGTAATATCCATGGCCCAAGCTTCAGTTTGAATGATTCAAACATGATTAATGAGTGAATTACCTTATAGAGGACGTTATCAGTGCAGGCGTTCTCCACTTGCACCACTATGTATGCGTGAAGGAAGTTTGATGCAATCATATCTGGTACAAATGGCGTATTTTCTTCTTGGAATACAATTGCCACAATGTCATTTCCTATATGCCTCTTCCTCTGGAGCTGAAATCAAGCCAACAAAACTGTGAAGTAATAAGAGGAAGCTGCCCGTAAGGTCTTTACAGACAATTTTAGATTCATTAAACTAAAACAAAAGTTTTATGTGAATTTTTCCATTCGCTTGAAAAAAAATAGTTATATGAATTTTTCCATTCGCTTGAAAAAAAAATTTTTTTGTGGTCTTGAACAGAATTACTGTTTTAGCATTTTGTGAGGTATATTATAATATTTTCACGCAAATTAAACACACTCCCTTGTTGAATTAGAAGTTTACTTTTAATTTTGCATCAAACATTTTGAACCAAAACTAGTTTTTTGTTTAAAACATTTTGGGCCAGTCAGAGCCTGAATTAAAAAGTAAAAGTCATATGCAACAAAAGGGAGTGTGTCTAAAAAAAATATATAAAATATAAAAAATATAGAAAAATGTTTTCTGGGATTAATCATACTGTTAATCATACATGAACATAATGTTTATTTAGTTATGAGTAGTCTTTATGAGTGTCTGTCTTCACTTATTGTGGATGAAAATTTGCTAGTAAAAAAATTATATAAAAAATAATAGTCGGCCATTAGTTTTATCTAACAATGTCATTTTCCCTAACCAGATACTAGATTAAAATTCTTGATAAATTAAACATTAAAACAAATGGAAAATCTCACAAGTAAAATGCATAAAGTAGATGATTTTGCATGTTGTGTTATTAGCATATTATTTGTTGCACTAAAGTTTTTCGTTTGATTTTAGGGTGAAGTATGACCTGGTGTGTTCTTGATGTTTTTGATATGCTTTGTGAGCTTCGCCCTTATACTGACTTATTATTTCCCAAATTTCCCACAAAATAACAATATTGGATCAAAATATTACACATATCGCAGACTGATTTGTGTTTTATTACACCAATGATGTCAAAGCCCTGAATTTCAGAACAATAATTACATTTATACTTGATTTAACATGCGACAAAAGAGTAATAGCATTCTACAGGGTGTCAATTTTATCTCCCATAAACCTTCAAATGTTTATCCGATTAGCTTTCCTCAGTTGAACCGCTCAATCGCTCTCTTCACAGCTGGCTCATAAATACTTATTAGAGAGCACTGTCATAACAGAAAAATGGTTCACAGACATTCACAAGTTCAAAAGAAAACTGATTGTCTTTATCATCAAAGTGTTCAGGAAATTAATAAGACATACGGAAGCATGTTTACAGCCCTGTGCCAAACATCATAGTCAAAACGATGTTTTCAGATAGAAACAAACCATTTTAAGGCAAAAACTAATTTGTCGCTGCCAGTCAGGAGGCCATTACCATATCACTATACAGTAGCTCTCATATAACATCATATCTGGTACAATAGCGATTAAAAAGCAGCAGGTGATGAGTCTGTACCCATATGTTATCTCTGGCCTCTGAGGTACCATACTGAATAGGGTATGTTTTAGTGGCCAGCATTGTAAGAGGGCAGTCTGTGCTGAAAGCCCTAGGTGATGTTCTCCCTGAGCGAAGCAAAACATGCATGACAACAGATGGCTTTCCAGGATCAGTCTTTTGCACTGTGTGGTTTGTTTGCTAATTAACAGAGCATTCTGTTGGTCGGTGTATTTGGCCAGCAGAGGGAAAGCATCTCTAGGGGGTGCAACTGGTTACCCAAAACTAACACTAACTGTGACATAAAACAATATTCCAGAATGTTACTGGTTTGTCATAAAGGTGCTTATGTATTTATCCATATTTACCCACCTTCTAAGGGTGATCACAGGTTTATTTGTTTAAAGGGGACATGGCGTTTTACTTTTTTTTTTTTTTTTTTATATTCACGTAAAAAAAATTATATATGCGGGAATACTTTGTCTTACCTGCTGGGGATCACCTTCGGTGTATGGTAGCTTTGTGGACACGTGGAACATTATCTCTTTATTGTGGAAGTTGTGGTAGACTGACTCGGTTCCTGTCTGGCCATGTGTAACATCCAGGCCACCTCGAAAGCTGCATTAAGAGAGAAGACCAAATATTTATTAAGATTAATAAATTTTTTTAAACTCAAATATGCCAGATGTTGTGATACAAACAATGCTTTTTTGGTCCTGTGACAACATTCAAATCAATCACAGCTGTTATTCAAAATTTACTCCTGACCTAGGCCTGAAATCAAAGAAAATGTATAATGTAATAAGTATAACTGAACAACTCTCCACTTAACCCTAAAATTGGTCAATACAAATGTTGTTCCAGGAGCAAGTCCTAGTTGGGTAAACCATATACTGTTTGTCTATATACCCTTTAAAATCATGAAGTTCAATCTTCTCTCCCAAGAACTCCAGAAACTCAACAAAAGCTGGACTTTCCTCATTGTTTCCAAATAGCTCCTCTTCTGTTGTCTGTAGAAGAGAGAATGTATTTGGGCCACAAGTTTCACAATTTATATAAATTAAGCATGGTGCAAATCAGGAACATAAAAACAATGAAAGGTGATCTGACCTGTGCAAATTTCTGATAGATGACTCCAAACTTGAAGTTGTTATTGATGACGTGCTCATCAAAGCTCACAATGAGTCTGGATGCCTTGAAACGGGTTACAAATGAGGGTGTGTGTATGAATATTGGAAGGTTTTTATCTTTTTTATTTTTTATTTTTTTTTGGTGTGTCTGTTCTAGCTTACCTTTGGGTATAAGACGGGATAAAATCTGTCCACGTTCACCTCTTCACAGACAAGCTTGGGAATAAATAAATAATAAAATAAATGAAAATAGTGATTTATCTCAATTACATATCTCTAATCAAATTATTTTATCTAATTACGAATGTTGTCAAATTAATTTACAACAAAAAGTGATGCAAATAGACAAGTGTATGTTCTCATTGAGATAAAATAAATTAACATAAAAATCACTTCGTAACATCTCATTTGCATTGGATATTAGCATGTGGAATTAATTAATTTAAATGTATAATTACAAAAAAAAAATCATTATAAATATAGAAAATTAATGAATACATCTGCATGCCATGTAATTATTTTAAATAAATAAATTCAACAAAAAATAATTATTCTTCTCTTCTCAAGCTACCTTCGCCATCTGGACAACATTAGGGAACTCGGTCAGACAAGAAATAGGGATCACATCATGGTAGGTTTTAAACTTCGACCTAGAATTAATAGACGAGAATAGATTATAAGATTCACAGTATCCACCATTACAAACTATTCAAAGTAAGATTCTAACAAAAACTAGCATCAGCCTCAATTGTCCTGTATTAAAGTCACTTTGGATAAAAGCACAAACATATAAATGTGATGATAAAAAGGTTATATTTAGCATGCAGGAAGGCTAAGACAAACAGACAGAGAGATGAATGGTAGTTCATTCAAAAAGTATAGCCATGTGAATCACTCCAGCATTCACAGGTGCCCTTGTCAATTATTTTACAGCCAGCGCGTAACATTCAAAGAGTCCCTGAAGAGCTCCCTTCATAAAAAAAGAGAAGCTTTTTAGATCAGCTTCTTTCTGACATGAACACGGCCAGGGCTATTGTTCCCATCCCATCCCCATCATTAAAGGGCCTCAAGACAGGCTGTGGGTTATATAAGAATAGATGTGCCCTTGTGTTCCTGCTGCATATTTAGAGCACTCAAGTCAGACCGGCTTCGGGAGAATATATAACAGAGGACAGTGGATGTGAATGTTTCTGGAACCGAGGTGTGCACCGTTCAGATCTGAATTGAGAATTGAGAGTAGCAAAAATGATGCAGAATTGTAAATCGAATGTAAGGGAGTCGCATTAATAGGAAATGAAAGATTCTTCTGAGAAATGGAGATGCAGATTTTGTGGCTTTTGTGTCCTTTCACCATGCAGTACATCAGAAGGTATTTTAGAAGAAAATAATCTATGAAAAAAGTATTAATGAACCATAACTGAGAATTTTCATCTGTGAAGAGTCGAGAGAGAGTGTGTGTGTGTGTGTGTGTGTTTGAAGTACCTAAACAACAGTCGAAGGTGCTCCTGGTCTCCAATCACATCATACTTCACAGAGAAGACCAAGTGTCCCAGGGCGCTGTCCACGGAGTAATAATTAAAGTGTTCCTGTGGGAAGAGGAATAAAGAGACATAAACTCTCAGAAAGACTCTTTACTTCACAGATTGCTAAGCTCTGACCCTAATATTAGACAGCAAGCTCAAAGTGTATTATCACTGCAGAGGGAAATGACAATAACGGCAATAAAGGACAGAACAACCAACTCAAACACTCCTGTTTACATTAGAATCCTCCATTCATTTATTCATTGGTGAGAAAACAGTCCTGATTTAATTTTGGGATTGACTCCAGAATGTTTTTTTTATTTATTTTTTTATAACCTGGCATATTTCAATATTCGTAAGTAAGTAAGTAAGTAAGTAAGTAAGTAAGTGGGTAAGTGGGTAAGTGGATGGATGGATGGATGGATGAATGAATGAATGGATAGATGGATGGATGGATGGATGGATGGATGGATGGATGGATGGATGGATGGATGGGTAAGTGGTTCAGTGGATGGATGGATGGATGGATGGATGGGTAAGTGGTTCAGTGGATGGATGGATGGATGGATGGGTAAGTGGGTGAGTGGATGGATGGATGGATAAGTGGGTAAGTGGATGGATGGATGGGTGGACGGGTGGATGGATGGATGGATGGATGGATAAGTGGGTAAGTGGATGGATGGATGGGTGGATGGATGGATGGATGAATAAGTGGGTAAGTGGTTCGATGGATGGATGGATGGATGGATGGATGGAGGAATGGATGGACGGATAAGTGGGTAAGTGGATGGATGGATAGATAAGTGGATGGATGGATGGATGGATAAGTGGGTAAGTGGATGGATGCATGGATAAGTGGATGGATGGATATGTGTGTAAGTGGATGGATAAGTGGGTATGTGGGTGAATGGATGAATGGATGGGTAAGTGGATGAATGGATGGATGGGTAAGTGGATGAGTGGATGGATGGATGGATGGATAAGTTGGTAAGTGGATGGATGGATGGGTGGATGGGTGGATGGGTGGATGGATGGATGGATGGATGGGTAAGTGGGTTAGTGGATGGATGGATGGATGGATGGGAAAATGGGTAAGTGGATAGATGGATAGATGGATGGATGGATGGGTAAGTGGATGGATCGATGGGTAAGTGGATGGATCGATGGGAAAATGGGTAAGTGGATGGATGGATGGATGGATGTGTGAATGAGTGGGTAAGTGGATGGATGGGTAAGTGGGTAAGTGGATGGATTGATTGATTGACTGATAGATCGATCTAACTAATGGACAAGACAGACAGACAGACCGATCTAACCTTGCCCAGGAAGTGTTTCCTGTAGATCTTGGCTATGCTGTTGGTCTCGAGTTTATCCTGTGATGCTGGGCAAGGGGGCGGTTCCTCTGGAGAGGAGGAGGAGCCTAAATCATGATTGGTCCCTTCAATCCAGTAACCTCCAAACTGGGGCAGCAGAATCAGTGGTAAAGAACCAGTACGCCCCAATACCTGCCAACCCATAAAAACATATTTAACAACCAGTGCAACAAGAAAACATATTTACATATATATATAAAAAAAAAAAAAACAAGTTTGCAACCTCATGGACGCTGGGGTATGGAATGTAGTCTTCCTCTGTCTGTGGAAGCAATAGAGAGAGATTAAATATTATGAGCCCCTCATTCGAGTCAATTTAAGGTGCAGATGAAAGAAATATAAAAGGTGCATGAAGAGTAAAAGCCCTTAAACGCAGAGCGGACCATCCGGTCCAGTCTAGACCTGCGGAGACTCACGATTCCAAACAAACCCTGAACCATATACAACATTCACAAAGCATGAGGTGAGCGCATCTGATCACATGTTCTGCTGTTATGCTGCCACATGTGGCCTTAAAAGCATGGAAAAATAAAAATACATCTCTATATTTATGTAAAGATTTTCAGGGAATTTATTAGGGCTGTCAAACGATTAATCGCGATTAATCGCACCCCAAATAAAAGTTGGTGTTTACATAATATATAATTATTTTATATATATATAATACACACACATGCTTATATATATATTTAAGCATTTTTTTTCATGTATATACTTGTATAGATTTATACATAACTTATATTACATATAAATATAAATATTTGATATATAAATAATATTTTTTTCTTAAATATACATGCATGTGTGTATTTATATATATACAAAATAATAATACACAGTGCACCCACATATATTATGTAAACACAAACTTTTATTTTGGATGCGATTAATCACGATTAATCGTTTGACAGCCCAAGAATTTATATTTTGAGTTTAATATGTGATTCACCTTTTTAACTCATAAAAGTATAAAGCATTACATTACAAGTAAGTTTGTGTACAAGTGCTCAAAATAAGCCAATGGTGCAAGAACAAAAAAAAAGTAAATATAATTTAAAAAGAAAACTAATTTATTTATTTTTTATGTTTGACTCAATGTCGCATTTTTTAAAACAGACATTGATCTGCTGCTTGTCAAAAGTTGAACTATTTTTAACCCATCAAGGCAGCATCTTAAAAAGATGCAATGCTTATGGCACAAGATGCTGAAAAACATTGCCAAAAGGTATATTAATAGGCAGCATAATTATCCTACTTTTGAAACAGCCTTTATGTCAGACATGGCCCTGGGATGCATTCAAATATCAACATTTTAAGGCAACGGAGAATTTCTGAACTATAAAGCTATGAGACCGAGTGTTAATGCGAAAACATCTGTCTGGAATAGAAGCAACATTGTGTTTTTCTGTGTGCATGTGATAAACAAAACGCTGATAGCAGGGATGGTCCTTGATGGCTATAACACTTGATGTGTGTTTATGTGGCTCTAAATATACACACTTACTTTTAGAGGAGGTGGAAGAGAGCACCTCTGCTCCTCCATTCTACTGCTCTGTGTTTTTAAAAAGGGAGAGAATATTTAGTGCATACAGTACATTTTAAAACATGCATCAAAATTCACATACTTTAATAGAATGGTAAATATCAGAAATTAGAATTCATCATTTGAAATGAATAACTTGAAATAATGTACATATTTGAGAATTCTCAGAAAATTGAAAACATGGTTAATATACACAATCATTTTTTATAGATAGGCTAATTAGGCCTGAAATATATTCTACGCAATAACCTATTCTAATCTATTCAAGTTATTAAGCCATATAGACACTGGCATTAAAGCTGTTCTTGTTATAAGTGTATAAATAACATGGATATTTAAAAGAAGCTCTATTGCTTTCTTTATGGACAGTAACAGTTATCATTCATTTTGATATTTTTTTTAAAAAGTAAGAATTTTTAATTATAGCTAAAGTTCAGAATAGGGCTGTCAAACGTTTAATCGCGATTAATCGCATCTAAAATAAAAGTTTGTGTTTACATTATTTTAATTATTTTATTTTTTAAAATTATTTATATATATATATATATATATATATATATACACACATGCATGTATATTTAAGAAAAAAAATATGATGTACAGTATATATAAAATATTTATATATAATATAATTATATATAAATCTATATACAGTATATACATGAAAATATTTCTTAAATATATACAAGAATATGCATGTCTATATACAGTATATTTATATATATATATATATATATATATATATATATATACACAAAATAATTATACACATATACACAGTGCACCCACATATATTACGTAAACACAAACTTTTATTTTGAATGCGATTAATCGTTTGACAGCCCTAGTTCAGAAGCATTGGAACATCAAAAATTGCCATGGTTCAACAAACCTATACATGCGTAGAGTATATTTCTAGCCCAACACAACATCATTTCAACAGTTGAATGACAGAATAATGCAAGTTTAAATGATAAAGTGGATATGGATTGAGTAGTGGCGTATTGAAAGAGAACCTCAGAAGAATAATAAAGCAAAGACAAGGAAGGTGTCACAAAGTTAGAAGGTCATAAAAAGCGAGAGATCCGCAAGAAAAGCAATAAACACAAAACTGGATGAAAATGTCCACTTCTCACCTGCATTCGCTCTATCATTGCAAATATATCTGATGTCTGAGAATCAGGAGGAGAGAGAGAGGAGGATGAACACAATGATAAAGAGTGAGATCTGACAGTCTGCGAGTCCACTTGACATGATAACTCTCGGCTCTCACCGAGAGGGACAGTGTAATGGACGGAGCTCCCTCCTATACTTTGATCCAAAGATCAACAGGGCATCAATCTAGCCTTTCTCCCTATCATACGGTTGAACTCAATGAGAGATGAAGACTGTGACACAGCGTAATTTAACACGGGAACAGAGCAGCTGTGCGTTTGAAGGATACGACCTGTCTAGCTACAGCTGCAGTGTCATATCATTGAGCACACAGCTCAGAGTAAACCAGCATAAGAAGCCAACATAAATTAAGAGGAACGGTGTTCAGAATTCCCTGCCTGATTATTAGCATCACCATTACTAATGCTCATACTTAGGGTTAGAATTTGAACACATTTCTAAATCTAAATATTAAACGCAACTCATCCTGCACTAAGTTATTGGATTTACAATTGTCGGTGATAGGTGAAAAAAAGGTAAGTAACCACCTAGCAACACTCAATCATCTAGTAATCATCTCACAGGCAAACACTACTGAAAAGATTTTAAAAAATCTAGTTCGTCAGAATGCAGTAGCATTTTTAATGTTTAATTCTGATAAGATATATACTTGCCAGTGACTGATTTTTGCGTTGTTCAGATTACCTTAAATGACTTCAATGTAACAACATGCTGTATTGAAACTGGAACTGTTTCTCTCTGACTTGCAGATTCATCAAAAACAAGTGCACACCCACACACACGCACACATTTAAGGTGATTTTCAATTTATATTGTTTTTATATTAAGCTATAACTGGTTTCTTCAACTATGGATACTTATGTCACATTATGGCACAATTACGCCAAAATGTCCAGTTTGTCGAGTATCCTCATAAGAGCAGTCTTTAATGAACATAAAGAGTTGTAAAAAAATATATGAAAAATATAGACGCACAGGAAATTATGACATTTATTACGCATTTATGTGAGGATTGTTATATTTTTTGAAGCCTAATAAATGTTTTTTTTTTTTAAATGAAAGCTTTCAATTACACTGTAATGTTGAATGGCTATAATTAATGTTTAAAATTGGGAGAAAAAATAATTTTCATGGAGATATCAGCTGTATTAGTATCAGTGATAAGTATAAGTTTTTAAATTATAAAATATATGAAAACTTTTTAATGTTTAATAAATGTTAATAAAAACACTTAAAAGTTTTTATGCGTTTTAATCACGATTAATCAGAGGGAAAAAAAAGTATCGATTGACAGCACATTATACATAATACATATGCTTCAGTTAGTTTTAATAAAACCCCCTGGGACATAGCAGTGCCTGAACACCCAGTTAAACTATCTTTACTTTTTTATAACCCAACACTTCTTTAAGTTTGAATTAAGACATTAATTAGTCCGCTTATTTAATAAACTGTTGGGTGATCCCATAATATAGGTTTTCTTTGTCCCTATGGGGGTATTTACAGCTAATGCACACTTGACTAATTAAAATGCTTAAGATAATTTCACAAACAGTTATGAATCAACGAATTGGACACAGCAGTACATTTTTCATTGCTCAACATACAGTAAGTGTGAGAACTCTTTCTCAACAAAGACATCCTATAACATTATTTCATCACCATCTCGCACAGTACACTCTGTACAGATCCTATGCAAGCATCTATGAATGAGAAACCCTTATCAGATGCAGAACAATACAATACTATTTAAAATCATAATACAAATCTACAACAATCTTTTCATTTTGTACTGGATCACAATCAAGAGGACATCTAGATTGTCCTTTTCATGACGATTTCTCCCCTTAATGGGAAAGAAAATTGCTTGTGAATTCAACAATAATATATTATTTCAATTGTGAAGCATTTATACATAATGATAATATCTGTCAAACTGTGTCTAGACAGCATGATTCTCATTTAATTACTGAATTGCAGAATAAGAGGAAAAATCATTTAAAAACGAAATTAAAAGTAAAACATCAGCACACATTCCAGTAAACAGAAACACAATCACACATTCCACTATTATGTCTACACACACTAACCCTTGGTCTTCTTATATAAGCACACAGATTTATACAAACTCCCACATTTCACTATGATTGATTATTTTCTCACGCGTTTCTAAAGTCTACTTACATCACTGAAGCGCCTGCGGTGGTGCATGGCAGCGAGTGCTGGACTACGAAACCTGTACATACTCTTAGCCATGATGAAGTCAGTTAAATCAGCCGAACCCTTTAGAGACACACAACTGTGACCTGCAACGAAACACTCTTTCTCTCAATCTTCAGATGTTCTGCTCATGAGAAAAGCAGCGGCAAAGGCAAGAAAAAGACTGACAGCTTCCTCAATCTGCAGCAACTTCCCGTATTTCAGTCAAGCTCGCCATACGAAACTCGTATTGAAGGAAATCACTGGTAACTGACATGTGGATGTGTGTGTGAGTGTGTGAGGCTATGGGTACAGAAGCGTCATGTACATTCAAACCACACATACCCCCTCAGATTTACTAACCAAAGAACATATTCAATTCAATTGCAATTCAATTCTTAGTCCAAAATGCTGACAGAATTCACCATTAATCAAAACGCCAAACCCCTCTTTTGAAAACTTTGAAGGTTCGCATGATTTCTAAAGCGAGTCTGTGAAAACTCTTGACTTTTGGATGACTTCAAGAGGTTAGTGCAATAGCGGAAACAGGTGAGGTAATGCATGTTTGACTGCAATGCATCTGCTGTAATACGCAAGCCATTCTTAATTTCCCAAATATCTAATATATTAATGCAAATATGCCCCATTCCATAACAGTGTCTTTCAGAAATACTGATAAAATCAGACTAAAAATGGTATATCATAATGATGACATAATATCAGAGTTCATGAGAGATAATATGATTCCCTTTTTTCACAGTTGCACAACTATAATGCATTTTCCCACACAGTGTTGTACAACAGCATGAAAGGCAGGCGGTTTAAAAACATTAATGTGAATGATGTGCAACCAAGCTCGTTCAAAATGAACTACTGTGTTGTCTATCTTTTACATTCAAGAGGAACATGGTGTTGTTGTGGTCAAGTCTGAATGCTAATATTGCTATTAGGGAATCTAACATATCATCCAAAACCTCTGATTCTAGGATCATCCCTGCCAGGATGATTCCCAGGGTCCAGGTTTTTACAAATGTCTGGGAAAGCCAGAATGTCATTCCTATGAGATAGGTTTCTAAACTATGTCTGATCCCAGAGGAGAAAAACATTATTTCTCAGAGTTTTCAGATCTATTTTCACATTAGTATCAACTAGTCTCAGATGTTTCACCTAAAATTAAGTAGGACAAACGCAAATAGACAGGACAAACTGTAAGAGTACAGAGCTGTATAATTCATGTGAACAGCATAGACAACAAGAAATCATTTCAAAATCTCAGAAATCTTGGCACCGTTTGCAACATTTTTAAGATCTCTTCTGAAACTCTAGAGGTGTTTACTAAAATTACAAGCATATTTGTCTAAAGAGAAAAATCTTAGAAGCAGGACACTTAAAGGAGTCGTTCACTTTAAAAAAAACTTTTGCTGATAATTTATTCACCCCCATGTCATCCAAGATATCCATGTCATTCTTTCTTCAGTCGAAAAGAAATTAAGGTTTTTGATGAAAACATTCCAGGATTTTTCTCCATATAATGGACTTCAATGGGAACCAAACGGTTCAAGGTCCAAAAGACAGTTTCAGTGCAAACCGCAAACTGTTCAAAGGGCTTTAAACGATTCCAGACGATGAATAAGGGTCTTATCAAGCGAAACGATCGCTCATTTTAAAAAATAAATAACAAAGTTTAAGTTTTATAAGCTCAAATGGTCGCCTTGCTCTGTTCTGATGCGCGTTCGTGACTCTCCTGTTTGAACTCGTTCATCAAAATGAACGAATCTTTTTTTGGTGTCATTTGGTTCATTCATTGTCTAACTTGTTTTTGGAAAAAAGCACCCCTGTTATGCTAGATTTTGGTGCACTGCATTCAGATTGCACTCGGTAAATTTAGTACTACGACTTTTTTCTAAAGTTTTTTTTAATCAAATATTTATATTTTGTTATTTCAATTAATGAAAATTATTTTTAATAGTTTTAGTTAACAACAAGACTGGTGAGGCAGGTGTTTTTTGAGGCATATTATGAGGCATCATATAGACCTTATTCAGAGCAGCGCCATGACAGGTATGAAAGTGAGGCTGTGAGGGATAGACTTACCGTGTTTCCAATGGCATCCGCTGTAAAAAGCTGAATAAAGCGGCTAGATTACTTACAATTTTCCACAGCTTACATTGTCGGGAGTTTTTTGTCAACTGATATTTCTTGGAAAGATATTTTTCCAGTGTTTCATGAGCAGAACAATCCGAAAACACATTAAATAACAGTACAGCCCACTGAAGAGATGCTCCATTTATCAGTGTCCATATTGAACCATGACATAAAAGGCAGTAGACAGGGAAAAAATGAGTCCATTTAATGCTTTTATGAGCACATAAACAAATATAATGAAACATTTGCCATTTAAAAATAAATCTCCATTTGTTCTCAAATGGAAGAACTGAGATATTAAAAAGAACCCATTTACAATGTGTTTTATGTGATACCTGTACCAAATCAGCAGAACTTGTGTACAAAAAAATCTTACTTTTGCATTATACAATATTGCTTACTATTAATATTCAGGGAATACAACAAAACCATAACGCAAAGTCCATAATCTACAGGCAATAAACACTGAATTAAAAAAATGCATCGGTAACTTGTTTACAATCCAATTTCACTTGTATCGTGCAGAAACTAAATTCACAGCATTTATAAGCCCTGTGTGGCTCTACAGAGATGCTGAACTGATTGAGACACTTGGTGAAATAAATGCTTAACTACACAATCTAGAGCTATAATCTTATTCTACTGCTCAAAATACCAGCGGGACGCTAATCATTCTAGGACATCCCTAAACACGGACACTTCAGTCCTCCTGGTTCCCAGAAGCCCTAGTGCTAATGGCTCTCAGAGCTGCTCTGAGACACAGATGGGTTCAATTAAAAAGCACTTGGGTGTTAAATTAAGGAAATAGGTCTCCCAGGAGAAGAGCAAGCATTGGAGAAACAATGGCTCATCTTCAACAAATAAAACTAGCTAACGTCTTATTCAACAACTGATATTAACAGCCAAGTTAGCCCAGAAGACAAGCTCAGAGGCAAGAGATGCTGAGCCTCCTGCATCCTGCAAATGTATTTAGCCTCCCTGGAAAGTCCAATAATGAACCGCCACCAGTTCAGCTCACACTAAAAGGTGCCACTGCTATTGAAGTGCTTTAATTTGTGGTTCATCGGGAGATCTTGATGCCTGAAGGAGCTCGGATTTTATTTCGGATCACATTAGCATTCAGTTCCTCAAAGTATCATTTCTAAAGTTAAAATTGGATGTTGGTCCTTGAGGGGGAAATTGAGCGCCAGCGCAAAATTTTCTGGTTACACACTTCACATGCTAAGCATGAATTACTAAAGGGTAATTTCTATGGAGGATTAGGATTAGGAGTGCTGCCTAAAAATACAATGAAGGAATCAATTATGAATTCATAAAATAAGAAATGAATATGCTTGTCTCTATCTATTTGCCAATCAAGCAAATGGAGGTATGCCTCCATTTCTGGAGGTACTAAACTTTTTGGGCTTGGTAAGATATTTTAATGTATTTGTAAGAAGTCTCTTCTTCTCACTAAGGCTGCATTTATTGGATCAAATATACAGTGAAAACAGCACTAGAGTGAATAATTTTATTCAGTGTCACATGATCCTTCAGAAATCATTCAAATTTAAATCTACAACAAATATTTCTTTTTATTTTATATCCTAGCAAGTTTTAAATAAAAATCTTTAGTAAACAATATAAATGTCTATCAGTTAAATGCATCCCGAGGGAGTAAAATAATTAATTTTTACTGAATAATTGGATGACTGATTTCATCCTTTTATTTTCGGTGGCACTCCAATAATCATGTCTTCCATAAAAAACAGAACAATTAAAAAGATAGACAACAGAACAATTGAAAAGCCAGTTGGATATATGCACACACACACACACACACACACACAAAGAGGCAGCTTATCAATAGTTGGTTGTCAAAGGAAAAAGGAAAAGACAGTTGAACAGCAGGAAGAAATAAATGAGAGAAGGCAGTTGTTTGATATTCCTACCACTTCTTCGATTGAACCTAAGGCCATGCTGGAATATAACTGGATTACAGGAAAGAGGAGTGAAATGTTAAAATCTGCCAAACCTTTAGAAGAGTCGGAGCAGGTGATGGCGGGAAGGACTTGACCAAACCAGGACGTTCTAACGGGTCAGATATTCGCGGGATTCGGCCATCCTGTTTCCTGTGGACAAACAAAAATCCTTAGAACTAAACCAACAACTACTCAAGGCAATCAGATCATTCGCATTTTGTCACAAGTGTTCGTCTGAAGATCCAATTAGAAATGCTCTGTATAATCGACTGAGGAATTGATTTGTTAGTAATAGTATGCAATCCCAGATGCTGAAAGAGACACAGGTGTGTATGTGAGTGAATGCAGACTGCAGTACAGTTCAATGACACACACCGCACGGAGAGGAATCAAGCCCTCGGTTTTTGTTCCCTCCCTCCGTTGGCCTGTAATGTGACTCAAACACATTATTTCACATCACATCGGATATTCTCGGATCACGCAGCTTTTAACAGCCGATCCTAAATCAATTAAAACTCCCCTGCCATTTGGCACACAATCTGTTCCTCCATGCCATTCTGGACACAAATACAAATGTATTTCTGAAGGTATCGGTTTTACTGCTTTGGTTTACGAGTTGATGATGATCCATCCATCATCTTTATTATTATTACATTGAATTTTGCTTGAGGTTGTCCTGCAGTTAATGGGAAAACAGGACTGCTGAGTTTGAATGAATGTGATCTAAAATACCTGGAATATATTGAAAGTATTGAAAAGCATTTAATGAGAGTTGCCCTCTGGAGGGCGACCTTCAGCGAGATATTCACAGTTGGTGTTGAATAAACCTTTAGGTGGCAAGCCCACACTGTCTGGTGTATATTGAACGCAAAATTGGCAAAACCGCCAAACTCCACTGTTATAGGCTGACTTTACACAATTCCTAGGAGTCAACGTAGACAGGTTTCTAGCATCTGCTTATGTTGCAGTGAACACCCAACAGAGACAATTTGCATACTGTTAAAAACCAAATTAAACTTGGGTCACCCTAGACTGCAGGACAAAAAGGCATTTGGGTTTGAAAGTGGCTGAGACGCATCTTGAAAGGGATGTCAGATGCCACCAACATCATGTCTAGTCACCAAAGGCGCAGCAGTGTTTTGTTAGATCTTTACCTCTTGAGGATCGCCAGGGCTGACACACTTCATTAGCCTGATGGCAGGTTATGTGCTGAAAAGCCCCTGAAGTCGTTGGGAAGTTTTGACAGCGGTACAAGCTGTTGATTTGTCAAAGGACGTCAGCCGAGCATGACTGAGATGTGACACAAGAGGCTGATACAACTCATAATGCCAGTGACATTCCCATAGAGACATTTAGAGTGGGGATTTGCATACAAGAAGAACATTACAGCAGCAGGCTCTAAAACAATTGAATCAGCATTTAATTAATCTTTCCTTTTCTGATCCATTTCACAAATGCTCACTTGAATCCTATCTGTGTGTAGCACCGACTGCTCTGTATAACCTTTCAAAGCACATTATAAAGATGAATCTGCACCTGATAGTAAATCTGCAAACCATTTCACATTTAAAGAGGTTAGCAAATCATAACAGAGTCCAGTCAACCAAATGAGGATCATGTGAAACTGTAGACTGGATTAACGGCCATAAGAATAAATTACACAAACACACACATCTTAAAATAGAAACAGCTATTTTAAATTATTACTTATATATTAATTATATATTCACAATATTACTGTATTTTTGAATGCCGCATAGGTGAACATAAGACGCTTCTATCAAAAACTTGGAAAAAATCTTCACAGTCCCAAAACTTTGAAGATAACTTGGATGAAAATAATAATGTAATGTGTATTATAATTATATGAAACCTGGTAGTTTTTCCTATCTTTTCCATATCATTTTTATTCTTCTGTAGTAATATATTTTGTAAAAGTGTTAAAAAAAATTATTCTGGGGTATGAATGTGAGGATGAATGTATAAGCATGTAGAGTTTGGTCTGTAAATTATATTTCTTATTAAATAAAGAAATAAAAAAACTTAGAATGGTAAATTAAAAGTTGTGTCTGTTTAAGGTGACATTTATGTATTTGGCAGACACTTTCACACACTTTAAACAGCATTCAAAGAATACATTATTACATTATGTGATCTTTAAAAATCAAACCTACTGTATGAACTTAGCACACTGACAGTGCTATGCTTAACTGTATATGCACTGAGCAACAAGAATAATAATATACAAATGTTTTAAAAAGTATAATATGACCCATTTAAGACCTAAATTGGGCAAGGGTTAGGAAAGGCTCAGGAAAACCTGGAGGTAGAAAGAGTTACAGGATTTACACAGAAAATGCAAAGCAGAGCTGCTCACTGGGTCTGTCAAGTGCACCTGCAAATATAAATGAATTTGACTGCGTTTACATGAATTAGCAATAAGCTATCTGACACTAGCCAAGAACTACAGAACAGAGTGTACATTAAGAGAAAATCATGGCAAAACATAAAAATTACATGACCCGAAGAAAGGCTGCACTTTCTTTTCTTTTCAATTTGCAAAAATGCACATTGCACAAAGAAATCACAATCCTAAAATCACTTAGAGTAAGTGTTATTTATGTAAAAACCACAGAAAATCACAATTAACTCTCGCATGCAAAATGAAAAAACTGTTAAGATATCATAAAGCAAATATTTTCATTTTTAAATAGGTAATCAGGGACTGAGTCCTGTATTTAATGTAATTAGAAGAGTTAACAGTTCAAAAACATATTAAACACACTTAAATCTAAATCACAAGCATGTTCACTATACACACCAAAAACTGGTATTGTGTATCACTACCAAAAACAACAACATGCCCTCACTCGTCTTCATCTCAACCTGCTCCACTAACACAGTCCGACACCTCAGCTGACTCCCTCCCACTACGACCACCTGAGCTAAACACCAGCAGAAAACTGGCCAATGATGGAGTGAGAGAAAGAGAGTGGGACACATTACTTACTTGTATGTATGTACAGACGACAAATCAGCACTGAGGAATCTGTTCTGCAGCTCCAAACTGAATGGGCAGGTGATAGACAGCGCTCTCGCTTTCCCATCGTTCCCTCCCTCCCTCTCTCTCTCTCTCGCTCTCATTCTCCCAAATCTTTCGGTTTCTTTCCCTCCCCTTTGCTTCTCTCGCCATTTCATGACTCACTCCCTCTTCTCTCTCGCCTTCCTTTGGGTTATCAGCACAAAATCTATTGCTTTCAAACCAGTTTCTGCATCTCTTTTTTTTTTTTACATTTTTCAATCTTTCTTTCTCATGGCAATATTTCTCGTTCCCCACCGGCATTCATTCATTCCGCTGATGAAAGTGCTCCTTTCCGCTGAAAACATAGTCCAATCAAACTGACAATTGATTTACTCACGCTTCATGTCAATCCAAACCCATTAAACTGTCGTTATTCTATGGAACACAAAAGGACTGATTGGGGACTGAGGCTCACAATGATATTCAAGCATATACTTTGCTTTTCTATACTCTACAAGACGTCGTAGGACACTTACAGGACATCCGCGGGGACAGAAGAAGAAAAGTAGCGGATCCGCCATTGCATCCAAAATTTGGAACAAGAACCAAAACAAAAACGATGGTTTGTTTACTGTTCTTGGAAAATCATGTTGTTTTGTATCTTTCTACACTCTTTTCGAGTGCACAATACATCACCAGGGTTGCCAGATGCCAGCAAGGTTTTCCAGCCTAAAACCTCATCAAAACCCACGAGAATGCACAAACAAACGCCCATTTATCTCGTTTAAACACATTGAAATCATTAACAAGCTTTAAAATGACCCATTTTTCAACTCAGCCTATCGGATTTCAGAATCAATATTCAATCAAATGAACACAGAAGTACTGTAGGCTACACTAACCTCAGTCAGACTGTTCTACTATTAAGCTTACGTTACGGAAAATAATAAGCTCAACTTAGGCAATCAATGAGTCTGTTTATTGTCAAAAGTCACTTAGAACAAAAGCATTCAGTAGAATAAAAACATTGAGTGGATATAATATGGACATTTCAATCGTTTCAAATAGCATGAAACATGCATATTCAACAATAACATTACATGAAAATCATGTTGATTATAGAAAAGGGGTGTCAACCAACTCTAGGCTACACAAAAACTATTTTCATAAGCCTACGCCAAATGTAGACAAAAGACAAACTTGAGTTTGACACCTGTGATTTAGAATTAATAACTAGCTATTCCTTGGGACAGGCAGTTAAACCTAGAGTTTTGTCATGAAGATTGCGTTGTATGTGTGTGTATGTGTGAATTGGAGTGAGTGAGACTGCTGCCTGGGGAACAGAGAGTCGCAGGAAGAAGGATCAGAAGTGTCGGTGTTTCGGCTAGAAAAACCCGCCGAACTGATCTGAAACCAGTCCAATTTTTTTCCTCCCGCTAAAACCCATTGTTGCCTGCAAAATAGATTGCAAAACCACCCAATCTGGCGTGTTGCCACCTAGTGGTCTCTTCTGTCTCAACATTCACCATGGCCAAGCGCTGTTGTACAAACACAGTCAGCGAGGTGAAATTGAGTTGCACGGGGACGGTGTGCGTGAACGTCTGCGGACTCTCCTGATGACGTATACGTCACAAGGACAGTGAGCGACTGTCGCAGAACACAGGCTTTCAAGTTTAGCAAAACATCAGTGTCATACAATCGCATACAACTTGTGTGCTATAACTACAAGATTCATGAACAAATACCTCTTTTGAAATTAATCTGTCCATCCAGTTCTTAAAGCTGGTCATGATCTGGTCAAAAGTAAAGTTACAAAAACTATATGAGAGAGTAAATTCATCCCCTTGAAAAAAAAGAAGATATATTAGTTGCGTGTTTGCTTTTAAAATGCCTTGATTACCAATGTAAGCCCTGCACTACAGATACAACTTTTGACAAATTATTTTCTGTGGTAACGGACCACGTCACAGATTCTGTCAATATTGTGCTTAGCTTGTTTTGAACTTAAAACATTCTGTGTGTGTGTGTAATTCAAGCCTCTTATGTAGTTTTAAAGGATGTTATCTGTCAAGCCTACAATTAGCCTACCCAACTACCTCAAACAGACTTGCTGCCATTCCCAAAATAT